TCCTACCCGGGGTACATACTGGAGCACTCTTTTGTGCCTCGGGCTGGAGTTTGCGTTTACGTCAGAGAGGACATCTGTTCTCGACGCCTCGGCAGACTTGAAGGTTCGGACCTGTCCATCCTTTGGCTACGCGTAGACAGCGACGACGATCCGCGCGTCTACGGATGCCTCTATAGGTCCCATAGCGGTAATGCCGAAACAGACCGACTCTTCGACCACGTCCAAATGGCTACAGATTCGTTGCTACAGCAGATACCCTCCGCAGAGATCGTGATCCTCGGCGACTTTAACGCCCATCACGTCGAATGGCTTGGTTCACGTTTAACCGATCATGCGGGGAGATCTGTTCATGATTTTGCCTTGGCATATGGTCTGACTCTTGACAACTGGTTACTTCGCCTACGCGGATTCCAGATGTGGAGGATCATGCACATTCCCTGTTGGACCTTCTGCTGACCTCTCAACCGGACGGATATCAGATTTCCGTTGACGCCCCTTTAGGCTCCTCGGACCATTGTCTTGTTCGGGATGTGGTGCCACTCACGCTGAAATCGCAGTTGCATTCTGCAGGCTTCCGCCGTGTTTGGCACTATAGGTCAGCCGATTGGGATGGGATGCGGTCTTTCTTTGCATCCTACCCTTGGGGGCGGGTATGCTTCTCGCCGGACGATCCCAACGTTGTTGCGGATTCTGTCGCTGATGTGGTACTTCAGGGTATTGAAACTTTTTATTCCTTCCTCTGCGGTGCCCATTGGAGGCAAATCTCAGCCATGGTTTGGTCGCTCCTGTAAAATAGCATCATGCTATAAGCAGGAGGGCTATCAAGCCTGGGCTGACGCATCAGCGACCCGGGATGTAAACACCAGCGCTCTAAAAACGAAGTATAATTCCGCCTCTAGGTCCTTCAAAAGAGTCATTGCCAAGGCAAAGTCAGAGCACATAGGCAGAATTGGCGAGAAACTAGTTCACCTTCCTCCTGGAACCCGTGCATTCTGGTCTCTCGCCAAGGCTGTCCAGGGGAATTTCTGTCAGTCATCTCTTCCATCTCTGCACAGGGAGGACGACTCACTGGCCCATACCGCAAAGGAGAAAGCCGATCTTCAAGGCTCTTTTTTTGCGTCCAACTCGACCCTCGATGACGGGGTAGTACGCCGCCGACCAGCCCGCAGTGTGACTGCTCCATGCCGGAATTGCAGTTCACACAGCGCTCGGTTCGCAAAGCACTCCTCTCCCTCGACATCCACAAGTCGAGTGGGCCTGACGGAATCCCCCCAATTGTGCCGAGGACGTATGCTCCAGGGTTGGCACCGGTTTTAACGCGTCTTTTTCGGTACTCCTACTCCCTAGGCGTAGTCCCAAAATCATGGACGGCTTTCGTCCACCCGGTCCCTACAAAAGGCGACCGCTAAGACCCGTCCAACTACCGGCCTATCGCCATCACCTCCTTGTTCTCCAAAACAATTGAGTCCATTGTAAACTGCCAGCTCATGAGGTACCTTGAGGATCACCAGCTGATTAGTGACCGCCAATACGGTTTTCGCCGTGGTCGGTCTGCTGGTGATCTCCTGGTCTACCTAACTCACAGATGGGCGGAGGCAGTAGAGTCCAAGGGGGAGGCATTGGCCGTTAGTTTGGACATTGCAAAGGCCTTCGATCGGGTTTGGCACAAAGCGCTTCTTTCGAAGCTCCCTTCCTATGGGTTTCCCGAGAAATTGTGCGATTGGATCACCAGCTTTCTTGCAGATCGGGGCATCAAGGTCGTTGTAGACGGTGCAAGCTCCGATTGCAAGCCTATTAACGCTGGTGTTCCACAAGGCTGCGTGCTATCGCCAACGCTGTTTCTTCTGCATATCAGTGGTATGTTGCAAACCCGTAACATTCATTGCTATGCAGATGACAGCACTGGTGATGCTCTTTACACCGGCCGAGCCAATATTTCTCGGGAAAACGTCTCCGAGTGCCGGGACAAACTTGTGTCTGATGTCGAGTCTTTGCTGAACAGAGTCTCGGATTGGGGGCGACTAAATCTAGTCCAGTTTAACCACCAGAAGACACAAGTTTGCGCGTTAACCGCTAAAAAGAACCCCTTTGTCGTATCTCCTCAGTTTCAAGGCACTCCCCTTGTTGCCTCAGCCAGTATCCGAATCCTCGGCGTCGACATATCGAGTGACGTGCAGTTTCATGGTCACTTGGAAGAGAAGGCCAAATTGGCCTCTAAAAAGCTTAGCGTGCTCAGCAGAGCGGGACAGTATTTCATGCCGGCACACCGCCTGCAACTTTACAAGGCGCAGGTTCGGCCGCACATGGAATACTATTCCCATCTCTGGGCTGGGGCTCCCCAGTACCAGCTCCTTCCACTTAACCGCATCCAGCGCAGAGCTGCTCGAATCGTCGACGACCGAGTGCTTTCCGATCGGCTCGAATCCTTGGCACTGCGAAGAGATGTTGCATCTCTTTGCATTTTCTTTCGCATATACCTTGGAGAGTGCTCTGAGGAATTGTTCGGATTAATCCCAGCCGCCAAATTTCGTGAACGCACTACGCGGCAAACGTCCCGATACCATCCACACCATCTGGATGCTTGGCGGTCCACCACTGTACGTTTCAAGAGGAGTTTTTTTCCGCGTACAACCTCTCTGTGGAATAGTTTACCACCAGCGATTTTTCCGGACCGATACGACCTGGGGACCTTCAAGAAAAGAGCTTACTCCTTTCTAAAGGGCCGGCAACGCACCTGCAATTCCCCTGGTGTTGCGGTTGATCATAGGCGGCGGTAGTCACTTAACATCAGGTGAGCCGCATGCTCGTTTGCCCCCTCTTCTATAAAAAAAAACGTTCCACGTTTCTACCTCTAGTAGGTGAGCGGGATCTATTGGTGCAGTGGATGGTGTGCACTGGTACTCTAGACTGTCGGCTAGGCTTTCGGCTTTTTCAAGATCGTCTAGGGCGAGACCAGGGTGGTCCAGCCTCACGAGAGGTGGCATCGGTGAGGATTTATCGGCTTTAAGAGCTCTGCGACCGATGGAGCAGAATGTCGTGGGCGCGACCTACTGGGGTTGCCCGCTCGCCCGCGTCGGATTGCTCCTCCGTTCTGCTTTCTACGCGGCGCTTTGGTACACCCGCGATAGCTCGCTGGGTGTCCCTTTTCGCCGCACAGAAAACAGCTCGGATGGCCCTCCAACTCGGGCGTTCGGGGTCATTCAGGTGTGCCATGATCGCCTAGGCACTTAACGCACCTAGGCCGGGCAAAACAATTTCTGGCCGAGTGGCCGTATAATTGGCATCGGTGGCACTGGCCAACGATGCCCCTATTGCGCGGGGACTCTACTGCAATCCCCGTGAGGTTGCAAATCCGGGTGATGTTATATATTTCTTTACCTTCCGAAGACAGGTCCAAAATTACTAGGCAAAGATCTAGATACCGTTTTTTATCGGTCGCGTGGTGCATCCTGTACACTTCTCTGACTGGTAAGTTTTGCGATTTAAGATCGCTTAGGATGTGCTCGGTTTCGAGCTCTTTAGGGAGTCCGCGAACTACAACACGGAGGTTACGGTCCTCCGCGAGGGAGTAGGTGTGAAAGCTCAGATTCTGAGCTTTAAGATGCGCAGTTAAAGTACGGAAATCGTCCGTCGTTGCGACGTGGATACGGATGCCCTGGGGTCCATTGTGGACTTTGGGGCAGAAGATCTTTTTGGAGTCTATCCACTTGGATAGGTTGCTCTAGTAAAAAAAGGGGCGGCGGCTTCTCCTTCCTTGGTACGCCGGAGTCGGGTTCGCGGTTTTGTTCGCGGGTCTTGTTGTGCGCACGGAAGGCGCGACTTTTTTAGCCAGAGTGGCGTTGGGCGACATAGGGGCCGAGTGAGGCTCGTATCCCTTTTTCGTGGCGGTGCGCTTATACTTTTTACCCGAGACTAGGGTGAAGCCTTCGTCTTCGCATTTTTCTGGTCGGTGGTTTTCAGTCTCCATCTCGGAGCCTGATTCGGCGTCCGAAAACAACGGGGAGGGACCGTGGGTGGAGAGCGCAAAAGGCGCAGGGGACGCGGCGTCGTAACTGTGTTGATGGACACAGGGGTCGAGGGCCCGGTATTCGGCGACATACGGTCGTCAATCCTTAGTACGGGGCGTTCAGCGGTGGACACTTTACGTTGGGCTAAGAACGTAGCCCAAACGTCAGGGCGCACTCAACTTAAAAAGTCGGTGAGTTCGGCTATTGAGATAGCCGCCATCGTGTTAGTGAATGAAAATAAACACTTGTGTATCAAGCCCCCCACCTTTCGGCGGGGGAGGTGTGTGTCTAAACGAACACTTATACAACTAGCGCGTTGGTACGCTAGGGTGTGTACCTAGCTGTCACCTAATGCGACAAGTGAACACAGAATTTAAAACAAAAGAAATGCTGCCTCTGAGGCAGCGGGTGTGCAATAAACTACTTACAGTTTTTACTGGAAATCGGCAGAAGGTGGGGTACTAAAACTAGCACTACACAATAGAACAATGGGCCGGCGGCCCGATGCACCTGGCGGCCGTAAAGGAGCACAACACTGAAGCACTTCCGCGAACAGGTAAAATGTCTTTGTCTTCTTTCTTCGTTCTTGAGTAAACGCACTGGGAAGGCATGGGCACAACCTATTATTAGCACTTCACGGTTGGGTCGCAGGCGACCGTATGCAGCGAGGTACCTGATCGGACTGGGCGGACCACGGACCTGTCACTCGGACTCGGACCACTACCCACGCCTACCCGGACTCGGACTGAATCCGCTGGATACTGGACAATGTACTATGATTATATAGATTGAAACATGTTTACATTCGTAGACAGAGAATTACATTAAGCCAGTGCCTTTACTATCCTATCTATGGAAACAACATAATTTGTCTTTTATATGAGTCTGTGATTGTTATGTAGTTATCTGCATAGATCACTATAGGTTATCTGTGAACGAGAACGATGAAAAAAAAGTTTTCATCAAAATATTTAGAGGTTCGCGGTATTTAAGATGATTTTAAAACGAATAAATATTAATTTTCTGACAAAACTTTCTTCCCAACTAGTAGATTATATAACTTGTTTAGAATGGTATGTCTAATGTTTCAGTTCTATATTTTGCCTTTTTTACAATATGTTTATTTGATTTAAGTGACGTTTCTACAGTAAAATTATTTGTATCAGTAACATGTTGCTTTGCATCATATTTATAATCTCTTACATTCCTAAATGATTTTGATATAATACATAGGTATAGCTGTTTAGGTAGCTTAATGCAAACAGTGATAAAATGTATGAGATATTAGGAAGTTATATTATATTTCTTTTTAACTTACGTGTGACAAACGATACCCAGTCAGCCTGATGATGGCAAAGAACGTGCAAATCAGTGGCGTAGTTACCTTGGGGCTAGGCGGGGCAGTGCCCCGGGACCCCCCAAGCATAAGCGGTCCCTCAGCCCCCATGAACGCCGTTCGAAAAAATTATACGTGATGGCATGAAACGGAGTGCAAAATTTTATCCATTTTTTAGTTTTTACGTGAAAGCGTAACAAACAAAAAATCTTTCACATTCATAATATTACTAGCAAACCGGCTGCACATGGGCTCAATTTACATGTGGTGTCATTTATGTTTTATAAAGCACTGTTTGATTGATTTAGTTTGTTGCTTTAATATTGATAATTAATTGTTACGAAAACTGCGCTAAGTAGGAAAATATCTTTCCTGTAAATTTTTCTACAGATTACAGATTTAACAACTTTGGGTAATTTAGCTGATAACATGTTAACTGTCCCAATACAGAATTTTTCGATAACCCCGTATGTTCAAATCAGTTTTTATAGTAGTATTCTTAATCAAATTGATTTAAAATGACCAATTTTTGATAGTCAGCCCCAATAAATAATAAATTATCCGGTTTTTCTTAACTTTTGACTGTGTACTGTATTCGGTACATGGATTTATTGAGTCAAAATAGTGTGTAAATTTAGCACATACCGTGAACTTGTGAACATCTAGTCTAAAAAAAAAACTAAATATTGAGACACATGCCATTAGAAAGCCTGTAATCATCCTCAAGTACACTGTTAGGATCCAATAGGAGCTCACATTTTTAGAACCCATTGGCAATGTTAGGGATATATCTACATGAAGACGTTGCTTTGGGTTTTATAAAAAACTTATTGATATTGAACTTCTTCAAAAAACTGCAAGAAGAAAAGCCAAATGAGTGACAATGCACTGTTAAAACTTATTGTCTCCAATGTTTTTTGAAGTTCCATTGCACAAATAAAGCCATTTTCTTATTTTTTTCAATTACCCACACTTAGAAAAAAAAATGTTTTACATTTTTTTCATTGATTGGTTCTGACAAATAGAGAAAACTAACTCATGAATCCATTAAGTAAGAGCTCAAAAAAAGAGGCCGGGATGTGTGTACCGTTTACGGTACACGGACGTGACGAATCCAAGCAGGGTGTACTGTATTTGGTGCACTGGACAGCTAACATGTTAATGTCAAAGTTTTATCATCACTGCAAATTATATGAAGCGAAGACGTGTCGACTAGCCGTGATGCGTGATTAGGTTGCACATAATTTTGAATCTGTGATATCTTCTAAAGTATTCATTTAAACATAATTTAAGGGATAATTTTTGTTTTGATGAAATGCCCTAGTTAACTAACATATTTATTAACATGAATATTAATACTGAATTAGAGAAAATGTTTTGGCAAATAAGCAAATATTTTTAATTAAAAAAATTTCAAAGATATAAATGGTTACTGTGAGTGAAACTTAGGAGATGAACTTATTTAGTTTAGCTAAGCTAGTTTGGACTGTTGGTCTAGACTTTTTGAAGAACTACTATTCCTTAGTACATTATTTTGATGTATCTTTTAAAGTTTAGTCATCGAAGTAAGTGCTTGAATTTCAGTTTTTTGACAATTTAATTACAAAATATTGAAATTTTTCTACTATTCAAACTTAATTAGAATGTATTGTATATACTAACCTTCTGTAAAAAAATCACTAAATGATAGTGAAAAACGTATCAAAATCCATTGCGTGGTTGCAATGTGTAAGTTGGTAAGGGGTTGTTTTGAAAAATAGAAAACTACATATTCATTTATTTTATCAACAGTCAATTGCCCTGTAAAATAAAAAGTGTCGTACAAACTGTAACACCTTATTTATCTTTGTTAATGCTTATGTAATAAAAGGAAGCCATGTTGCTTCTACATTCTGCGGTTTGAGCTGTCTGTCATATCAATATTTTTCATATACAACTTACACCCTCGTTTTAAAGCCAGTTAGATTTTGCAAAAATAAAAAATATTATTTTAATTCAAGAGAATACATAGTATTCATCTAAATAATAAAAGTATAATAGTTACTGTAGACAATTATTTTATATTATAGTAGTACATGATATTACCTTTAAAAACACCAATAACTCAATATTATTTACTCAGTATATATATATATATATAATATTTACTCAATATAAATATTCACTCCCCAACACAATCATGAATTGCATGAGTTGCACTTTAATAATTTCTAGACAAAACATGCTTCTGAAGAAAAAAGAAACTGCTGATGCATCAACCAGTTACCAACCTAATGATCCTAAGAACTCCGCTGCAGCAGAGTTAGATCATTACATAAGCGTACCAAGGGCCGCAAGAGATGCAAATCCATACAAATGGTGGGTTTTCATCTTAAGGAAAAGTTATGGCTTAATACTTATCAACACCCGCCAGTTCAATTTACAGTGAACAGCTTTTTTCAGAGGCGGGTTTAGTACACGAGGCAAAAAGAAGCATACTAGACCCAAATAGTATAGAGTAGTAGAGTGTTTTTTAATCTTGCTCTCTTAAATTTTTAAAATTATGATATTTTTAAAATTTAAGAGAGGAAGATAAATATCAGTCATAACAATGTCTATAGATTCTTATGTACGTTCTCAATATTTCTGCTGTTTCTCATGTTCCTGATGTTTTAATATGTCTAATATAATAATGGAAATACTGGGTTTTTGTCTTTTATTTTTTCTCTGGAATGTAATTAAGGCCGAGTACTTGCTACTCGGCCGTTAATACTCGGTGCTCTGCCAAACCTTAAAAAAAGGCCGAATACACCGAGTACCGAATCCAAACCGAGTACTCGTCCCATGTCTAATATGTATATGTAAATATTACTTTTGCAATCTCATTTATTTATTTGCAATTGTTTTATGGTGTAGGTTAAAGTATTTAAACACAAAAATAATAATGTGTATGTTATTGCACTTTGCTGATTTTTATAAAACTTACAGCAAATCACACTTAAAAAAAGTACATTTACATGTTAAGTACCTACTCTCGATTTATAGTTGTGGGAAATAGAAAGAAGAAATATGTGCATGAGTGCGCATCAAGAAGTTAAGCATAGTTTTAGTGTCACTTGAAATGTATGCAGTGTCTTACCTTTCTTTGTAGGTCTGAGCTACCCATGCATGATAACTTGATATCTTCCTAACTACCCTCTTCATGCACCTTTGATGTACATTGAGCAACACCATACTTTACCATGGTGGCTCTGATGTCACCACATTCAGATCTCAATTTATTGTATCCTACATGGGTATGTGTAAATTTCAAGTTATCATATATACACATACTAAAATAAATACGGAGAGGATTTTGTTCTATAATTCTGTATATAATTTTATTTGAATTTGGCTAGTACACTTTTGTTTCAATATTGTGCATAGGATTTACATGATTTAATTCTTTCCTCCTCTTTCCACCATCGACAATCAGAAGGTTGGAGGGTCTCCACTACTTTGTTGTTGATATTCCTCGCATTTGAATCAAATGGTTTGCTTCATCTTTCATAGAGTGTAGTACAGCATAGGTGTGGAATAATTTAACAGTGTTTGTATTTCCATCTGTACACAACCTTAATATCTTCCAGGTAGAGTGAATAAATAGACTTTATTGGGCTTAGACAATTTGTTACCATCTAGGGCTTCAACACTGCTTACCATCAGGTGGGATTGAAGCACTGGATAAATATAAGTTAAAAAATATTTTAAATAAATTAAATAAATATTATAATTTTAATAATTATTTGTAAATTATTACTTAATATATAATGGCTTTTGTTATTTGTTCTAATTTCAGCTGCAAATATTATATTGCACCAGCCACAGCTGTGTGTGGACATTCTCTATGTCTTGGGTGTTGGCGAGGCAGACGAAAATGCCCTACATGTGCAATTCCTGTGGAAAAGAAAAATTTACAATTAAATCTTCCATTGCAAAATACAACTGAACATGTTCATTTGCTTGTGAAAGCTTTGGAAAAGCAGTTTAACATAAAAGGTTGGTATAATTTGTTTGGTTACTTTTTAACTTACATAATATATTATGCTTTCAAAATATTTTTATTATAACATGACAATAATTACTGTGTATATATAAATTGTTACCAAATGGAACAAGTTTAGGATTCCATAATGAGTGTGGATTGTTATAGTCACTACATCATAAAATGTATGGTTTTAATAAGTTAATTATTTTAATACATCCTATGAAATGGTATAAAATTTTTAATATGAGTAATTTTCAAATACTATAAATAAGCCTAATGGTTTTCACTGCTTGTTTATGGGGGTGGTTGTAAAAGTTAACTATGTACTGTCTACAATAGTTAGGTTCTTTTAATAGTCATTATAACTATCTTATACCGGGTTATTTTTCAAAGAGTAGCCAAACTTAAATTTAAATATATATATATATATATATATATATATATATATATATATATATATATATATATATATATATATATATATTGCAGAATGGGTCCCACATATATGCAATAAATGAAACCATATACTTGTTATCGCCTTTGCTGACGATATACAAAAAATGAACGTAATCGGTCCAGTAATTAGGTCAAAAAGTAGAGTTTTAATTTTAAGCAAATTTGAACACTCTATAGAATTGGGTCATGTAATGATTCAATGAACTTGAATCCTTGAACATTAAAAAGCGACGTTGCCACGCAGTGCAAACTATTGGTATTGCGACATATCGACAGCGATGTCTTTTGTCGGCGTGCCACCCGCGTGCAGCGTTGTCCAAGGGGTCAAGGTACGTTGTCTAAACAGAGTGTTCACTTTTACTGAATTTATTTTAATATTTATTTTGTTTGAAAATTTCACTTTTTTTATTTTACGTGTTTTAATTTAATATTTAATTTTTCTACACTTCTACGGACTTATTACTTGTGGTTTCATTTATTGCATATATGTGGGACCCATTCTGTATATATATAATGATACACCGTTATTGCAGGTTTTGAAAATACGAGTAAAGAAGGCTTCTGCTTTTATTTGAAATTATCTCAAATTGAATGTGATTTATGGGCAACAATATTTTTGCCTACCGATCGACTCATGAATTTGTGCGTGCACAGTAAAATCAGTTAAAATAATGCATTACCACGCAATTTGTATTTAAAAGATAAAAAGGACAGACTGTGAGATTTTTCTTAAACTGTATATTGTGAAATATACAATTTTTGGTTTTTTTAAACCACCAATCTGCTGAGCATGGTGATTATGGTGAATCCTCTCTTCTATTGGAGTAGCCTATTATAGCGGCTAATTGATAATGTGCTGACAAAGAAGAAAATATTCTGATCTTACATCCCTTTTAAATTTTGTCATGTCAGAAATTGCTATTGTTTCATTACAATATATAATATGTTAGAAAAAATGCTGGTGTATCTTATTGGTTGTAAATTTAATTAGTGAAAAGTAATTATTAAATAGTTCGAACCATATTCTATTTTCTTTCAAATCTGTTGGTACATTAAATAATGTTATTTAAGAATCCTTTTCTTTTTTCAAATTTATTTACTATTTTGGTGTAATCTTCTTTAAGTGGATGAATTTGCCTTGGATGCACCAAACGAAAAACGACAAGAAGAAGTTTCAAATAAAAATGTGAAAGACTGGTTGGCAAATTCCCAAAATCATTTTTCTGCTCCTATCAGCTCTCAATCAACGCAAGATATAGATCCACACATAGAATATATAACTAGTGAAATACAAGTTCATACTACAAATGTAAAGACTAAGAGTCCAGGTAAAAAACTTTATGTGCCTGTTCCTCAAGTTGATTATGATAAAATTGAAGAAATTACAGAAAGTGAAGAATTTTCGTTTGCAAAACAGCAACATGTTGCAGACCTAATGGCCTTACAACCATCTGTTTTTGATGACAGTGAATACACTACACAAAATCCACGTAGAAGTTCGAGAAAAAAAGATAAAAGTAGTATTTTAAAAGGATCTGTAACTGAAGATGTTACTGAGAAGATTAGTGCTAAAACATCAACCGTTCAATCCTCCAAACCATCTAGTAAAATGAAACAAACGTGGAATAATGTAAAGAAAATGAGAAAAGAATTTGGTAGATTAAATAAGGAAAATAGAAATAAATTAAATGTATCTATTGAAATGTGCAAAAAAACTCAAGTTTCTAATTGCAAAACAAAACTATTTGATAAGGAAAAATCACCATCATCACCAACACCAGATATTATTGAAGCTGTTACCCCTAATATTCCCCCTGCAGTTAAAGAGTCTGAAAATCGTCCTTTAATAGACAAACACAATACAATACAAAATACTGTTAATGATAAATTACATATAAATACAGAATTGAGTTCAAGACCAGCAATGTTAATAAAACATCTTAACCAGGAAAATGCTGAAGCAGTGGCAAAGGGTAGTAAATGTAATTTGGTAAACAATAAAATATCGATTCCTGAAGAAAAAATATTAATCCCACAAGAACAAAAAAATACTCCAATGGATATTGAAAACAGATGTACCCATGAAATATTGATAGAAAACCCAAGGGTAAAATTCTTTAAAAAAAGTGCTTTACAGGTTAAAACAAAAGAAAAGATTGAGGAATTAAAAAACGAAGATTGTAGTGAGATTAACACAGAAGATATCGAAATTTCAATTAAAATTGGTAAAACTGTAACAAATATATTAATAAAGAAAAATGAGAATGATGTCCGATTTAAAATTAATAAAGATCGTGAAGTACAAACTTCTTTAGAAAATAATAATAATATTAATAACTTCACTCAAACCTCAGAGTGTAATAAAGAAGAAACTGATGTTATACAAAACAACAATATTGATTTAAATGAATCTAAATGCACTAATAATACACAAGCGAAAATTGTTCAATCGTGTAAAATACCTCTACCAAACCAAAATTTACATAAATCAAGTTCAACAAAGAAAAATACTGCATCTGCAGATACTGTAACTGCACAATTCGAAATAACTAAAAGTGTTGAAAAAGAATTATCGGACATTATGGAATGTGTTGAAAGTGAAAGTATACAAAATGAATATCTGAAAAAAGGCCTAACACCTATGAGACAAAATATAAATAAAACTGCAGTTCAAAATTTGCAAAGTTCGTCACAAAAAGAAAATATTCGCGATGACTATGATTTAGACATTTTTGATTGTGAATCTTTAAAAGCATCTAGTGTTCAGTTACTTAAAACATCAAAAAATGTAGCTTCAAAAATTTTAGTATCAACGCAAAACAAGTATAAACAAAAGCAATCAGATAAAAGAGTCCGAGATATAAATAGCGACGAAAACTTACCTGTAAATAAAAAACAAAAGATGTCACCTGAATATGAAAATATTCAAGTTGAAAAAGTAAATAAAATTGTTCACGAAAATTCTAAAGCAGCATTAAATGAAAGTGAGTGTAACACTTATGATATTGTTATGGACAAAGTATTTGCTAATATTGACGCAGACATTGAAAACTATGAAGTCTCAAACAAAATTAAAAATACACATGATCGAAAAAAAGTCTGTGACTCTGAAATTGAAAATCCAAAGTACAGTGAAAATATTTTTTCAGTTGCGGAAAATGATTATAATGATCAATCGAAGGTGTTAAATAGTCAAGTAAGTTGTTTATTCTGTAAATGTTGGTTATAAATGTTTATTTTGTAAATGTAATATAGAATTTCTGTTAGCAGATGGAGAAAGCTACTCACCAAAATAAAGATCCGTTGGCACCAAACTTATGCCGAGAATTTGCTTCAGTACATAAAGGAGATAGAGAAACTGAAGACTTAGAAATGGTGGAATTAGGGACACCATTCCACGAAAGTGATGATTCTGACAGGAGTGTAGTTGAAGAAACCCCACATAAGTTAGTATTATTTAGAATTCTTTTGTTGTTATAAAAAAATACTCATTTGCTAAGCAGGGGCGGTGAAGTAATAAACAAGTAGTTTATTGTAACACCTATAAATATTACAAATGGAAATATTATAAATAGAAAATGATAGAACAGCCTTCATTATTTTCCATTTTTGAAATTTAACATAGAAAATGAAGATTGTATTTGCTTTCTTGTACATTATTAATACGTTATAAAGTAATAAACTTAAAATATCCAACTGCCGAATACTGACCTCTACTGCATCATTTACACGCAGTCACTGTCGCTGCCGGAAATATTTCCCTAAATACTATAGCGGCAATAGCAACGCGAGTGTGTGTTCACACTCAGCCTTCATACTTCTTTATTGGTCAATTCGCAACAATGACTGACGTCGAGGTTGTTGGTGCGACAGCATTATGTCTGCTCAGTATAAGTAACTTTTAAATGTATAAAAAATAAATAAAAGATGCTGTTTTTATAAGACACGGGACAGGTTAATAAACAAATTGACGTAGTCAGGTAACAACACGTTGCGTAGCACGTTCTTTCTCGGTTGAACCTCGGCGGCAAGTGAGCGAGAATGTAAACACTCGCTCGCGCTCGAGCTGCCCCTCGTTTGGCAACCGAGAAAGAACATGCTACGTTTAAAAACGGCAATTCGTTTATTAATCTGTCCTGTGTTTTAATGATATTTAGTAATTGTAAAATAATAAAGTTTTTAGAACTTTATTAAATTGAGCGAGTAATATATAATATGGGATCGTTATGATAAAAATCATAAATTGCACGTAGTAGCTACTTATACTGGGTAGACATAATGCTGTCGCACCAACAACCTGCATGTAAGACATTGTTGCGAATTGATCAACAAAGAAGTATGAAGGCTGAGTGTAAACAACCACTCGCGTCGTTATTGCCGCAGAAGTATTTAAGGAAATATTTCCGGCAACGACAGGAGCTGTAGCAGTGGCTGAGTGTAAATGGGGCATTAATGTGGCATACCATTTCCCATTTTCACAGGGTAAAATGTAATGCATTAAAAATAACGCACCGATGACGAGGTGGAGGAAATGTATGATATCTCTAGAGCCATGCAATCCTCCAAAACCCGCTATACGGTGTCAATGGGAGACTTCAACACAAAACTAGGCATAAGGGAGAACGATGAGTTAATTCGGAAATTCGGAATAAGGCAACGAAAGCCAAGGGGCCAGCAGCTGGCCGACTTCATGGAGAAAAAGGGACTTTTTATGATGAACTTTTTCTTTCAAAAGCTGCCCCACTGGAGGTGGTTCAGGTCGAAAAAAATGAGATTGACTTCATTATGACGATCAGACGACAATTGGCAGTGATGTCTCAGTGATCGCGAGGGGAAGACTTGTAGCGATCACCGAATGTTGAGAGGAACACTGGTCCTAAACGTGTAGTTGTAGAGAGATGTAGGTGACGTAATGTTTCCAAAATTTCTTCAATGGCGAGTACATCACTCACCTCCGATTTGCCGACAATATTGTCCTTATAGCAGAATCGCTGGAGGACCTAAGTACTATGCTAAATGACCTCAATAGTGCCTCTAAACGGATAGGTCGTAAGAAAGAATATGGACTAAACAAAAGTCATGTGTAATGTCTATGTCACACCTATGCCGGTAGTTGTTGGGAGCACTAAGCTCGAAGTGATAAATAGTCCGACTATGTAACTCAAAGGTAAGATTACGACAAATTTCGTCAAGCATACCTCAAAACTAAATTGTATAACCAGTGCATGTTGCCAGTGATGACCTATGGATCTGAGACATGGTCCTTCACTGCTGCCAGTATGAGGAAGCTCAAAGTCGGTTAGCGAGCTATGAAGAGAGCTATGCTCGGGGTTTCTCTGCATGATAAACTTAGGTATGGAGATATCCGCAGTATAACCAGAGTGATCGACATAGCCTAACGGATTAGTTAGCTAAAGTGGCAATGGGTCGGCCAGATATAGCTCGAAGAACCAACAACCGATGGGAAAGTCATCAAAACTTTCACAATAATGTACATAAATAAAAATATATTGAAATATGGATAACAAACACCTATCCGGCCGGATACCGGATTAAAAAAAAAACACAAAATATCTTAATTTAGTTAAGTACTTCATTTATATCACTTAACAAATATAATCAATAATCACAAAATTTTCATTTTAAAACTTACAAAATTACTACTCTTATTGCGCTAAGGCACAGAATAAATTGTAGTACTATGTAGCTAAGGGCAAATTATGGTGAATAAATACTAATTTCTCTGTATTGAAAGGTAACAAGCGGTTTCGCCTGTCTTCATTAACAAGGCCAGCTTCAGAAAAAGTGTTTCGCTGTACACATTGCTGCAGGGTACTGAAAGGTAGATTTTGGTAAACTTTGATAAATTTGGGTATTGTATAGCAATACCTGCCCACCAAATATAATGGTCACGATCGCGAACAGTTTGCACTGACTTTATCTTTCGCTTCTTGCGATGCACCAAACGGCAATGTTCAGCAGAATATCCGGCGCCCGGATATCCGGCTATCCGGCGATAAGACTGGCCGAATATCCGGTATCCGGCCAAACAGCTTTTCAACAGCGTTTCATCTCTCATATCAGACATATGCCTCTCCCAAGGCGCGACACTTAGCCCGATCTTCGGCTACACGCATCCAGTTTCTACCAGCTGACTTGCGCAGATCGTCGCTCCATCTGGTCAGGGGGCGTCCCACACTACGTTTGCCTAGACGCGGTCTCCACTCCATAACACGTCTACTCTACTCCACCGCTTGTCACCTCTGCGACAGACATGACCAGCCCATTGCCACTTCAGCTTACAAAACCAAAAACTTTGGTTCTCTGGCGGATTTCTTCATTTCGAATTTTGTCTACCAGAGAAACTCCGAGCATAGCTCTTTCCATTGCTCGCTGAGCGACTTTAAGCTTTTGGAGCATCTCTCATATACATACATATAAAGACATATATTACTCTTTTTTAAATTTGTCTGTGTCTGTCCGGGCTGATCTTCGTATGGGTGAACCGATTGTGATCAAACTTTACGAACAGATAGAAAGCAATGCCAAGATAACTGTACAGTGGTGTACAGTTAGCGAGTGTGTTAGTCAACAACCTGTTCGATCCCCTTTGATGCTACTGAAACTGTTGATTGGAGTTTATTTGCTAATGAACCACCTGCTCTCTGCAGTGAATAAACGCTAGTTGGGGAAGGATTGTGACATATCTTCTTATATATAATGTCCTACAGACCGAATTTCGATCACGGCCGCCAGCCTCAGCGGAGACTAGCCATCGGTGCAGGACAGGATTATAGTGCCCAAGTGTATGCGCAAGCACAGGTGCACTCTCTATTCCCTCACTCTCATGATCCGATGGGACGGTAACCGACACGACCGGAGAGAGATCAGGCACAGGACCAACGGCTTTACGTGCTTTCCGAGGCACGGGTGTGAGACACCGCCAAATTCCTGACTCCGGGCAGCTTCTGAGAATTTCTTGACGGAAAAACTCAATAATTGATTTTTTGGCCCGACTCGGGATTCGAACCCAGAACCTCATGATCAGCAGTCGCACTAATACAACCACTAGACCAACGAAGCAGTCAATCTTTTAGTCTAAAAGTAAAGTCAAAGTCTTATTTAGATTTAGCGAGACTAACGGACGTTAGTCTCGATAAATCTCGAAAGGGGTTCGACTGATTTTAATGAATTTTTTTGTGTGTAAGGAACCCTGGATGGTTTATATTCACAATTGGATCCGGAAGATTGCGATGTTTTTAAGATTCAGAAATCACCCGTGCGAAGCCGGGTAGGATCGCTAGTACAGTATAATCTAATGGGGTTAAATATAATGACCACAATAAAATGTTTTGACACCCGTAGTTCTTTTACCAAAAACATATACTTGACACCAGAATAATATAGCTTAAAATTACAATAGTTAAAATAGCTATTTTAGTCACAACTTCACTTCAAATTGTATTCGAACATCATATGTAAGTAGTAAATGATCACCAAATCTTAGCGAGCAAATTAATGCACTATTTCTGCCTAAATAAACAACTGATTGCCATAAAATGTAGGCCTATTACCAAATAAAGTATTATGATGCCATATTAAGGTGCCATTAATGTAAAAATTATAATGAATAGGACACAATATAGGTCCGTTAGGCGCAACCTAACCTAACCTGGCACTTGGAGCGTGCCGCGGCGGCGGCCGGCGATGTGCCAGAACCGACCGATGTTTCATAAAAATGGGGGGGGGGGTGCGGCACTTCCCCCTTTTAGGGGTAGGTTCCTCCCCCTCTACCCGCCCACTCGGCGACCATATATTCGTGCCGCACATTACTAAAAATGGAATCGTTTTGCTTAAATAGGATAGCAAGATGTAAAAACTTTGGTTATAATTTTACATTGAAATGCTGGTTTAATTTTGGTGATCATTTACTACTTTTGGATAAACAATGATTTATTTGGAGTCGTTTTGCTTAAATAGGATAGCGAGATGTAAAAACTTTGGTTATAATTTTATATTAAAATGCATGTTTAATTTTGGTGATAATTTACTATTTTTGTATGTTACATGTTACTATATCTGGTAGTAAGTTAAACATAAGCCTAATTTAAACTCTTTTTTATTATAGAAGTGTTTCCATTCCGAAAACAAGCAAGCGTAAAACGGAAGAACTGTCGTGTCAAGTGGAAAGTGAAAACAAACAATTGAATACATTAAATGTTATTGGGAAAAAAGAGAACACAAAAAGTGTTATTAGTTTATCTGATAGTGTTACAGATTTGTCTAAAACAAAAGAAAACACTGTCGAAGAAAAGAACAAAGACAGAAGAACTCTCGAAACGTCGTTGTCAATAGACGTATTTGTGGACCAAATAAAGTATAAATCCACTCCAATGGTTCGAAGGTCGTTAAATTTTAATCGCGAAAACATCGAAGAAAATAATCTTGAACAAACCCTATGTCCAAGTCCGATCGCAGTGGCCACAACTACTCAAGAGAAGGAATTCATGAATGAAATTTTTGAACAAAGTCCAAATTTACTAGTACATAAAGCGTTTCCCGTATTGAATCGCACAAATCGCCCCACAAATTTTTGCATTGCTGGTTCATGTCTAACAGCCAGCGAAATAACAAAATTGAAGCTTCTTTGCAAAGAAAGAGAATGGAACTACGTAGACAAATATACAAAGGAGTTAACCCATTTAGTTGTTAGTGTGGATGAAGAAAATAGATCACAAAGGTACTTATACATATTTCACACTTTAGTCATCTGCTATACCTTACAATGAAAAAGCCCAACAGTGGTTACTGTTGGGCTTTTTCATTGTAAGGGCTGTAATCTCAACGAGGGATGGATTGGCGATCGTCGAGACGTCTTACACATTTTTACAGTACTTCCCTTTGTCGCATTAGTAAAAAAAAGTAAAGTTACAGCCTATATACCTACGTCCCACAGCTGGACACAGGCCTCCCCTCACTTCTGAGAGGGTTTTAGGGCAAAGAAGTGTCCGCGCAACTCCAATGCGTGTTGGCGAACTTCACATGTCTTCGAAATATTTTTTTTTCTTATTCCTCAGACGTGCAGGTTTCCTCACGATGTTTTCCTTCACCGCCGAGCACATGGTAAATCAGCACTTAAATAAAATTGCAATTAACAATTTCATTGGTGCCGACGAGAATCGAACCCGGGTTACTCGCGTTATGTTATATTTACAGCGAGCGTTAACCATCTGAGCTACCACGGCTCAGATGGTTAACGCTTTGTCGCATTAGTATTAATAATTAATTTATATGGTTATAAATATGTGCCGTGGTAGCTCAGATGGTTAGCGCTCGCTGTAAATTTCACAGTACGCGAGCAACCCGGGTTCGATCCCCGCCTACACCAATGAAACTGCAATTGCAATTTTAAATGCTGGTTTAGCACGTTCTCGGCAATGAGGTAAACATCGTGAGAAAATCTGCATATCTGAGAAACAAAAAAATATATTTCAAAGACATTTGAAGTTCGGCAATACGCATTTGAGCAATGCGGCAGACACTTCCTTGCCCTAACACCCTCTCAGATATGAGAGGAGGCCTGTGACGTATATAGGCTGTAACTTTTTTTTATATTTTAACATGATTATTTTACATGTGGCCTAAGATAACGATGGTGTTCTCCTGGTCGATCACAGCCACGGAGATAACTTTACAATACAGTAGCAAACTGTACAGTACTGTCAATAGTTTAGTATAGTGTTGTATATAATACTAAAACCCTCGTAGAATACCTACGCGAGTTTTCGTATTATATTCACGCAAACAGAAGCGTTCACCTGTCTAATGCAACCCTTGTAGTAAGTTCGCAGGTTAGCATAAACATAAACACCCGATACTCCAATAAATTACGTTTTTGCATAAACGTGGCAAAATTCAAAATATAATTCAAATAGAATACAATAATGTGGAATATTGAAACTGGCTGAACGGTGTAAAGCCATACTGTGATCGTCAATCCGCCTCTGCTATTAATTATCCTGGCAACGTGGATGATTTCTATTTGGTGTCAAAGTTGAGCAACCTTTAGCGTATTGTTAATTAGATATTAATAAATAAGGGTAGAATTTTTGAGTTCAAGCAGATATTTTTTACTCTGTCAATATGTCAGTCATGAGATTGATAGTTATGTATATAATGTAGATAAAACTTAATATCTACTTTTTGATTGTATATCCCAAAACTTAGCTTGTCTTTTGTGTGCATAATAACTATGGAGTGTAGAAGTAAGGAGTACCAACTCTCATAGTAGAATAGTTGAAAAAGTGGACATCTGTAAGCAGTAAATAACAGTTCAAAAACTCTCCACAACAGCACTGGAGTAGCTAAAGAAGAAAGAAATGAACTTGGCAGATGTCGACGGTTTGAAATGTGCTGCTAAAGTGCTCAGTAGCTCTAAAATCTAAAATAATTTTATTTAGTAAATATAACCTCGAAAAAGTCGTTTATCCCACTAATATTTTTCGGTGCGTTCTTTAAAATTTACCCCGTAGCTATAGTGTTGCCACCCTTATTTAACGGTTTTGTATGGACACTTTTTAATACACAGTCTGTACTCCTTACTTCTGCACTCCATAATAATAACGCTTCATTTTGATAATAGGGTTACAACACATGTCATTTTGATGTCCATGGCGTTTTCCTCCGATAAAATACATAAGGCTTATTACACAGCATTATAGTTAATTTACCTTTTCTATATGGGATTCACACGAGTACTTTTTTTATATTTTTCGAAACAATAGCAAGTATAAATGTATATCTATTTTTTCTTAATTTAGTAGTAATATTAGTATTAATGATATTGTAAAGTATCTCTTTTCTATATTTACAGATCTGTAAAATATATGTGCGCGCTGGCAGCAGGAAAATGGATAATTAGTTATGCATGGGTAGAAAAATGCATCGAAACGAAAACCGTGGTATCGGAGGTCAGTATTTATGTATATGTTTGTATAGCTACACTGACTTGAGTATCTACAATCATAGACAATCATTGTCGTTGACTGAAATGGAAACTCATAACCTATTTTTATCTTTACATTTAAGTAACGTGTCCGACTTCCAATCTCAGCACACATTTTTGTAGAAACACAAAGTTAGCACGTGAGTGCTTACGCGTGCGTACGCTTTCGACACTAAAATATCTCCTAAGCATTTCGTAGCTTGCGATAATTTATACATAAATATAAACCTACTCCGTATTGTGTTACTAATATATGAAAATAAATTTCCCCTTTTAAATAATTAAAATAAAAACCTGAAAACAAAAAACTAAAATAGCTGTTACACTGGATGGAAATGAAATGAATACTGGCTGATAGATTTATTTAAAGAAAATATCAGAAATAATCAGAACAACCAATAATGGGATGCTACTCAACATGTTTTACACACTGGGCAATGTTTTATATACTTCGCCGGGTCATAAGTTCTGTCAAAACCTTATTATTTAAAATTTTTGAATACTGGCTAAATGAATTTCATTAATTTTAAAAATATAACGTTTGCGCTTGCCGAAAATAAAAAAGACATTAATTTACATTCATTTGCAAATATGGAGTGGTCGAAGAAAGAAGATAGAGTAGCAGTTATCGCGTTGCACCGCTTTGGTTACGCGCCAAAAGAGATTTTCAATATTCTACAAAAATTGAAAATAACCATGCGATTTGTTTATCGCACTATCAAACGATTCACTGAAGATTCAAGCTTCGAAGATCGTAAGAGGACCGGCCGACCTCTTACAGTTAGGACACCTACGATCATCAAAGCAGTGAAGTCGCGAATCCAACTAAATCCTGTTCGTAAACAATAAATCTTAGCTCTTCAGATGGGCATACCACGGTCAAAACAGTGATCAATGAAGACCTAGGACTACGAGCTTATCGTAAGAGGACCGGACATTTTTTGAACGAGCGTTAAAAAAAATTTTGGCTGTATAGATCCCGCGCTTTGCTACGGCGGTACACGGGAGAAAATTACCGTGAAGTTTTGTTTTCGGATGAAAAATTTTATAACATCGAAGAAAGTTATAATACACAAAAAGATAAGGTGTATGCCCACAGCAGTGATGAAGCCAGCACGCGTATTCCGAGGGTTCAACGAGCACATTGTCCTTCGTCACTCATGGTTTGGCTTGGAGTCTCATTCAGACTTAACTGAGGTGTTTTTCTGTGAAAAAGGTGTAAAAAGCAGTGCCGACCTCTTTCTCAAACAATGTTCAAAAACAGACATTGGATATTCCAACAGGACTGCACCAGCTCATAGGGCACGAAGCACGCAAAACTGGTTGACTGCCCATGGAATTTTTTTTATCGGACATGAAAACTGGCCCGCTTCTAGTCCAGATTTAAGTCCACTGGATTTTAAGATATGGCAACATTTGGAGGAGAAAGTCTGCGCTAAATCTCATTTTTTCTCAGAATTTGGAATTTCTCCGAGCATCTTTGGCTAAAGCAGCGGCAGAAGTAGATATGAGTGTGGTGCGGGCTGCGATTTATGATTGGCCGCGTCTAAATAATATAATAATATAAAATAGCATTCTAAATTAAATTACCTTTCATTTCATATATAATTTCTATATAATTATCAAAAAGTATCATTAATTTTTTTTAAAGTTCTTAACAGAATTTGACCTGACTCAGTAAATTCTAACAATGAAATAGTTTTTATGTTGAACTGCCTGCTTTGAACTACAGGGGGGCCGCCGGCAGATTTTACACTTTATAAAATAAAATAAAGGTATTTACAAAATCTAAATTATTTATTTATTTTCTTACTAAAGGATAGTGCGGAAATCTCTTCTTAAAAATTACTCCACTCAAATGACGTCCTTCTAGTCGCAAACATTCTTGCAGTCTTTCCTTCATATTGGTAAAAACTCTTTTGCAAAGTGATAGCCTGAACTGCGCGGCGGATATTTTCTTGTAAGGCGTTTATTGTTGATGGAGAATTATTGTAAACGCGAGACTTGAGATATTCCGAGGAAAAAGTCGCAAGGGGTCAGATCTGGAGATCTAGGGGGCCAGGCTACGTCGCCGAATCGACTTTTTAATTTTCCAGGAAAAAGCTCTCTCACTTTAATCATTGACTCCCGGGCGGTGTGTGTTGTGGCCTCATCCTGCTGAAAGTGAATTCTGTTATTGTAGCCGACGTGACGATGCAGCTCGGGTATAAAAAAAATATCCAACATAGCGCGGTACCGCTCTGCGGTAAGAGTTTCACCTCTGTTAAAAAAATACGGGCCAATTATGCCATTTCCAGAAATGGCGCACCAAACCGTGGTCTTCGGGCTGTGAAGAGGTTTTTGATGGACTTCATTTGGGTTGCTCTCACTCCAATATCGCATGTTTATTGACATACCCTCCAAGGTGAAAATGCGCCTCGTCACTAAAAAAGATATTAAACATACGCGTAGAAAATCGTTCCAAAAATACTCTTGCGTAAGTCTGCATATTTATGTAGTCATCTTCTTTTAATTGCTGGATAATTTGAAGCTTATATTAAACATACGCGTAAGCGTAGAAAATCGTTCCAAAAACACTCTCGCGTAAGTCTGCTTCTTTATGTAGTCATCTTCTTTTAATTGCTGGATAATTTGAAGCTTATATTAAACATACGCGTAGGCGTAGAAAATCGTTCCAAAAACACTTGCGTAAGTCTGCCTCTTTATGTAGTCTCTTCTTTTAATTGCTGGATAATTTGAAGCTTATATTAAACATACGCGTAGGCGTAGAAAATCGTTCCAAAAACACTCTTGCGTAAGTCTGCCCCTTTATGTAGTCATCTTCTTTTAATTGCTGGATAATTTGAAGCTTATATTAAACATACGCGTAAGCGTAGAAAATCGTTCCAAAACACTCTTGCGTAAGTCTGCCTCTTTATGTAGTCATCTTCTTTTAATTGCTGGATAATTTGAAGCTTATATTAAACATACGCGTAAGCGTAGAAAATCGTTTCAAAAACACTCTTGCGTAAGTCTGCCTCTTTATGTAGTCATCTTCTTTTAATTGCTGGATAATTTGAAGCTTATATTAAACATACGCGTAGGCGTAGAAAATCGTTCCAAAAACACTTGCGTAAGTCTGCCTCTTTATGTAGTCATCTTCTTTTAATTGCTGGATAATTTGAAGCTTATATTAAACATACGCGTAAGCGTAGAAAATCGTTCCAAAAATACTCTTGCGTAAGTCTGCCTCTTTATGTAGTCATCTTCTTTTAATTGCTGGATAATTTGAAGCTTATATTAAACATACGCGTAGGCGTAGAAAATCGTTCCAAAAACACTCTTGCGTAAGTCTGCCTCTTTATGTAGTCATCTTCTTTTAATTGCTGGATAATTTGAAGCTTGTATTAAACATACGCGTAGGCGTAGAAAATCGTTCCAAAAACACTTGCGTAAGTCTGCCTCTTTATGTAGTCATCTTCTTTTAATTGCTGGATAATTTGAAGCTTATATTAAACATACGCGTAAGCGTAGAAAATCGTTCCAAAAACACTCTTGCGTAAGTCTGCCTCTTTATGTAGTCATCTTCTTTTAATTGCTGGATAATTTGAAGCTTATATTAAACATACGCGTAGGCGTAGAAAATCGTTCCAAAAACACTTGCGTAAGTCTGCCTCTTTATGTAGTCTCTTCTTTTAATTGCTGGACAATTTGAAGCTTATATTAAACATACGCGTAGGCGTAGAAAATCGTTCCAAAAACACTCTTGCGTAAGTCTGCCTCTTTATGTAGTCATCTTCTTTTAATTGCTGGATAATTTGAAGCTTATATTAAACATACGCGTAAGCGTAGAAAATCGTTCCAAAAACACTCTTGCGTAAGTCTGCCTCTTTATGTAGTCATCTTCTTTTAATTGCTGTATAATTTGAAGCTTATATTAAACATACGCGTAGGCGTAGAAAATCGTTCCAAAAACACTTGGGTAAGTCTGCCTCTTTATGTAGTCATCTTCTTTTAATTGCTGGATAATTTGAAGCTTATATTAAACATACGCGTAAGCGTAGAAAATCGTTCCAAAAACACTCTTGCGTAAGTCTGCCTCGTTATGTAGTCATCTTCTTTTAATTGCTGGATAATTTGAAGCTTATATTAAACATACGCGTAGGCGTAGAAAATCGTTCCAAAAACACTCTTGCGTAAGTCTGCCTCTTTATGTAGTCATCTTCTTTTAATTGCTGGATAATTTGAAGGTTATATGGATGGAACTTCATCTTTTTTCGAATTATTTTGTGAACTGACGTCTTTTTCACACCTGTTGCAGCTGCAATCTTCCGGATAGATTTGCGAGGATTTTGCAAAATTTCTCTTCTCACAAGCTCTGTGTTTTCAGGCGTAGTTACAGACGTTGAAGGTCCAGGCCGAGGCTCATTTATGACTGATCCAGTTTCTCTGCACTTCTTGACCCACGCCCACATCAGTTGATTCGACGGACCATCCTTTAATCGGCGGATACCGAAGTGAGAATTAAAAGAACGCCTCGCCACATTGATCGAATTGTTGTTCGCAAAATAGGCCTCGACAGCGAAAGCGCGATACGCTCCCGTCCACTGACTCATGGTTACTAAACAACCCGCAACACTCCCGCGTCGAACGATACCCCGTACCCCCCGCCACCGCCTTGCTGCACGCTGTGAGCTCGATGCAAAGTGTAAAATCTGCCGCCGAACAACCTTTATATTATATAGTTTAAGTTAGCAACAGCAGTAGAGTTGACTTTGAATTCTAAATTCAAATAAATTTAATGTTTAACGCATGTTATTCCTTTTTCAAAATCAGTTATTCATTCATTAATTAAAACTACTTTTACGGATTTTATCGCGTTTATTTTACTATTATTTTTAATTCCCGACGTTTCGGGCGCTTTCCAGCATCCATGGTCACGGGGGACTGAGATGACTGACGTCCCGATGTCATTGTTAAACCCGGAGTACCTTCAGCTTTTTTAATTATTGTTTATGGTCCGATCTATGCAAAATGAACTGACTATGTCCTGAGGTCTTGCAGTGGTATGCTTGGGTTTAGTTTTAATTTTATTGATTATAGGATCCCAAGCAGGTGGTAGTACCCAGCCTCCTTCTCTATTGAAATTAGGATGTTTTTTAATTTCAATAGCCTCACATATCATCCTTGGTAGGAATCGGTATTCTTTCGCGAGGATTTGTGGTCTATCAAATCTGATGTAATGGTTGGGGGCGTCTAGGATATGATCGCAAACTGCAGACTTCCCGGAACGTTGATGCTTCACATGAGCTATATGTTCTTTTACGCGGGTTCTAATTGATCTTTTTGTTTGCCCTGTATAAGAGAGACCACATTCAATAATAGTAAAATAAACGCGATAAAATCCGTAAAAGTAGTTTTAATCAATGTGTAGTGTTCGCGTAAATATAAGAAATCATTACAGTTATTCATTCGTTTATTTAGCTTTTCTTTTTTTCTGCAAATTGCTATATGTATATAACCATGGACATACATTGGACCATGGACATTTGAATATGAGTACGACGCGACGTAGAAACAATGCGTCTCAAACGCCACGCAATATACGGATCTAGCACTACTAACTAATGTAATTAATTATTTCAATCGCTTTCGTTCGAGATATTTTCACTTTATAAATGAACCTCGTGGTCGCCCGGAGTACGTTTCTAATGAACAAAAAAGCGATAGTGGCAGCGTATCCGTCTCAAACTACACCTGAGCTACCGTCTGTTTTTGGTCGAAGTTGTCAAAACAGTACCTAACAGTTTGCGGAAAGTAAACTACAGTGTAAACCCTATATAATGACACTCAAGGGACTGTGCATATTTTGACATTATAGAGATTGTCGTTAAATGAACGCAGAAAAATCTATATTAGAAACACTTTTTCGTTAATACACAGTGATTTTCTCGTACTTGCCATGTTTACAGTTTGAAAGTCTGTGAGAAACTTAGAATATTTCTTAGAGAGTTTGGTATGTATGATGCCGATAGTCGAGTTTATTACGGGCTAGGATAATAAAGCGCCAAAAGAACGTACACGGCCGTGCAGTATTTAGTACTTATTATTATTTAATTGTTGTCATGTGTTGTTGTGGGTGTAATGCTATATAGAGTGTATTATTTTATGGAAAACAAGCTAAACCAAACAAAGCAGAGTGATTTCGTCGCTGTAGGAAATATATATAGGATACATTGTAATAAAAAATAAAGGAGCCTGACAAATAGGTACCTCATGAACTGAGTGACGCACAGCGAGAGCGTCCGCGTCCGCGTCTAAGCTGGCATCATATTGCTAAATTGGAATGGATCCTATACGACAATGTCTAGCGTTATTACCACATGCCCAAGTCAAACAGAGCCCGAAACGAAAGATAAACCAGAAAAAGCTCATACTGACGGTAGTTTCTTGGTCTACTGCAGGTGCTTTTCACTATAGCTTCTTGCCATCTAGTGCCACAGTTACTGCTGACATTTATTGCAAAGCATTGCAAATGACTGTGTACTCTACACTCGAACAACCTACTTTGGTGAACTGCTCTTCACCATTGCTTCTTCATGACAACATCCCGCCACACACTGCATAATAGATGTTGTAAAAATGGTGAAATTAGCACAACCAAAACTTGAGTCTACCTCATCCGCCTTTATTTTCTAGACCTTGTCCCACAGACGTCCACTTTTTTCGAAACTTACACAACTCTTTGTTATAGAATAATTCAAATCCCGAAGAAGCAGTAAAGAACACCTTTAAAGATTAGATTTATCGTGCAGTTTTGACTATTGCATCAACAAACTGCCCATATAAATCGATGTAAGAATATCAACTACCTCTATCCCATATGAAAGAAAGAAAGAAAGAAAGATTTATTGCAGCACGCCACAAACATCAGTAGGCACTTAAATTTTGACACATCAATTATAAACATTATAACAAACAAAAACAAAAACAGGAAACAAAACCACAATTTGACGGATAAAACAATTTAAAAGTATTAATACTTATAGATTATAATTTAAAAAAAAATAAAAAGACAAAAAGAATCGTTTCTCATATTGTACGAGTATGTTGTGGCGCGTCATACAAACGGACCTCACTCAGCTTATGCTGTCGCCGGAGCAACAGCGCTGGTTTTCAGTGGGCCCGAAATCCATATCCAATATCGTCCCGTAGGTATCGTAAGAAGTGACACAGGGAAGCAAACCGTGAGATGATCAAGAGTAGAGGCGGCTCCCCATCTCCTGGTTATAACAAGTTAAAATGAAAATAAAGTTGCGTTTGCCAACTCGCCTGGCAGGCGTGGCGGTTATGGCAAATATCCCTCTATGTGGGAGGCCCATGTTCAGCAGTAGACTTTTGATAGGGCTGTAAAGGTAACGGTATTAATATTTACACACGTGTGTTTACAAAAACTAATGCTTGCTTGTAAACTGTTGCTTACTAACAGTAGCTTAAAGCAACGAATGTCAATAGTCCGACTAGATAGAGCGATACGTAACGTAAAGTGATACGTAAAAATGCGAAATAAGTTGCCATTTTATATATTTATGACATTACTACATTGTCATGTTTTAATTAACTTGAAACACGAAGCCTGAGATAAAATTAAAAAATACGTTTCACAACCATTGGGTGCGTTTGGCAGAAAAAAGCGCTAGCAAGCGCTTGTAAGCAAAATGGCGAAACTAAACAGTTTTCGGCCAGGACACGTTTGCTAACTTCAGTAGCGCTGACACAATCCGCCATTTTGCTTATTTAATTTGTTTGTTTTGAAGTAGAGTTTATAAGGTGTATTGTGCAATATTAGTTTTAAGTAATATAATATACATGAATAAACATATACATGTTATTAAAAATTCATGATTGGTAAATTTTTAATATGTATACTTTACAAACATATATTTAAATTAGGTTAGGTTCCCCGGTTAAAATTGACTTCGTGTCTTAGAGGAAAATAGCTACTTACGATTTGACAGCGCTTACCGCTTACGATCGCCATTTTGCTTACAAGCGCTTGCTAGCGCTTTTTTCTGCCAAACGCACCCATTACCATTGTTAGTTAAAAAACTAACTTACCGTGTAGTGGCAGTGTAAGAATATCCATATCCTATATCGTCACCTGGGCAGCGTAAGACGCTAAATAGGAAACAAATTAGGAGATGAACAGCAGCGTCTTCTTAATAACAGCTAAAATATCAAACAGCTGTTGCCTATCTGCTTGCCACGCATAGCAACCATGGTAAATATCCCAACTATGAAGCTATCTATAGGGGAGACATAGGTTCAGCAGTAGAGTTTTATAGGCTCTCACGAAATGGATTAATGAAAACTTGCTATTATTTAACTAAAAATTATTAACTAAAGAATTTGCTTGTAAAATACATATACCAAATTTTCCTTAGAAAATTTCATATACAAAGGTCAATTATTGTGATTGTCCGATAGGAACTGTACGAAACGTTAGACGGCACAGGAGAGCCGGGTCCGCGACGTTCGCGCCTCGCCAAACAGAAGCTGTTTCGGGGCATCACTTTTTACTGCATGCAGCCATTTAGCGTGCTTAATGTCGACACTTTGAAGGTATGTTAATCGGTTTTTTACAACAGCAAGAAAAAACACCTAAACACTAAATATCTGGGTTTCAGTAATTATGAGCTACTTCCATATTAGAGACTAGCAACCCATCACGGTTTCGCCTGGGTGGGTCATTTTGATTTAGTTTTGAAATTATCATTATTATAACTATTTATAATATCAGTTTTTCTATTTTACAAAAATATTCTCAGTGATATTCGGATAAAAATATATAGCTAAGATCACTCCATGAGTTGTAATCTACATGTGAATAGATAATGGACCCCAAAAACTTTGCACGAATTTAGAATTGTAATATTTCTTGACACTCATAGAAAAAGTGAAGGAATTCATCAAACAAAATTCAGAAATCAAACACCTTCATTGTTGACCGTATGAGGACGCTCAAAGTCGCTCAGCGAGCTATGCTCGGAGTTTCTCTGCGTGATAAACTTAGAAATGAGGATATCCGCAGTAGAACCAGAGTGACCAACATAGCCCAACGGATTAGTAATTTGAAGTGGCAATGGGCCGGCCATATAGCTCGAAGAACTGATAACCGTTGGGGAAAAAAAGGTTCTCGAGTGGCAGCCTCGTACCGGTAGGCGAAGTGTAGGGCGACCCCCCACTAGATGGAGTGACGGCCTGGTAAGACATGCAGGAAGTCGATGGATGCAGGTGGCTCAGGACCGTGCTTTGTGGCATACCTACTTGGGGGAGGCCTATATTCAGCAGTGGACTTATGAAGGGCTGTTATGATAATGATGATGATGATAGAAAAAGTGACATATCACATATAAAGAAAAAATGTAAATCAGAACTTTGTGCACCTAGTAAAATAACACACTATAGTCTACATCTCATATTTTCTGAGAAAATAAGCTTCGAAATATCCAGGCAAAGTTAATGGCATTTCCTTTACTTTGCCTAAGCAAAAATATCATAGTTTAAAATGCGTTTCCAAATAAACAGATTTCGCTCCCATAAAGTATTGGTTTATTATTCCTACTTATCTATGACATATAGTATAAAAGTTTTAATTTTTTATTTAGAGGGGAGGCAATGTTAAGCAGACATTTTGAACATTTAGTCGCTTTATGGTAAATCGTTCAGGGTTGTCCTTGTGTAACCATAGGAAAATAAAACAACTTATTTGTTAAAAAGGGTCATTCAGTTCATCCACCCTAAGGTAAAATAAGTTAAATATGTTCTTTATTATTACCTAGTGTAATTAAGTAGTGTACATCTCAGGGTGGATAAACGGACGGAATGGGATGCCGTCACCACCTTCTGCGAAGCAGTGATGCTAGCGAAGGAGGTGGCGGAGCGGGAGAAGGAGAGAGCAGCAGCTTTCCTCCCCGGCCGCCGCGGGAGACGCCCCGGGCGTCCGGGGCTACGTCGTGGCCCCCGGTCACCGTAGGCGCGGGCCTGTGGACGGCGAGCAATGGGTAGCTCGCCGTCCGTCCGTCTAACGACGACAGGCCGTGTCGACGGCGCGTTTTGTTCCACGCGCGCCTCAAAGAGCTGTCAGCAGCGTGAAGGGGCCCGCAAGGGCCGACGCCTGCCGGGGCTGCGGGCTGTTCGAAAGAGATACCGCGGCTCCGGAACGTAAGAGCACTGAAGGAACACGGATGGTTTTTAGTCAGTAAAAGTCTGACACTCCCTTACGCTCCACCCAGAGCGAAAGGCGTCATTAGATGATTTTCCATCGGCAAAAAAAAAAGGGTGGATAAACGGAATAACCCGTTAAAATTTAATCATCAATGTTACTTTGTTTTATTAAGTACCTAGGTAACAATTTTTACTTACGCAATAATATATTTATGATTACAAAATAATAAGTAAATAAAGTGCATAGGTTCTATTCTGATTAGGTACATTTCGATTAGGTTATAATAGTTTGACAACTTTGGCATGATTTTAGACAAACAACATGACAAGATAGGTGTTGACTTTATTGAAAATGGTACGCCTGGAAATCCCGAATTGCTTTTGTGATACGATGATAATTTCTTACATTTTATGAGATCAACCATTAAGTTTAATATTTTGGTAGAAAAATTAACGTATTGCCGACGATTTTTTCATTTATTTTTGTTTTGAGAACTGGTGTTTTTTTGTTTAGAGGCACTTTCTAACAATTATAAGGTACGTTTAAGACTATTTAGTACGTAAGTTATAATATATAGGTATCTGTCTCAATAAAATAGATAGTAGTCTAACGCGAAACCTATTCTCAAATAAAAATGCAATAAAATTATTATTTTTATAGGTTTTTTTTATAGAAGAGGGGGCAAACGAGCATGCGGCTCACCTGATGTTAAGTGACTACCGCCGCCCATGATCAACCGCAACACCAGGGGAATTGCAGGTGCATTGCCGGCCTTTTAGAAAGGAGTAAGCTCTTTTCTTGAAGGTCCCCAGGTATTAACATATTAAAATAATAAGTTTTTTTTAGGATATTTATGTAAAACGTAAAGGTTATATTATGTTCTAACTACGTACACGCTCGCGCATATGAAACCGCGGAATTTCACAAGTTTTATTATTAAAATAATAATTGACAAACTTACCCCTAGGCAAAGTTTTGTCGATTTTTCATAAAAAGCGACACATAATTGTTTGTCTTGATTTTACCAACTTAAACTCGTTTTAGGTGATCAAAACATAGAGAGAAGGATAGGAGACTATTTTTCATTTAATATGGTTCATAAAATCCGTAAAAATAGTTTAAAGTACTCACACAATAAAATTTTGAAGTGGTGGCAAAATATTTGCGACCACCATTTGCATAATTCTGATGTTCACAGACGTTTCATAAATTTTTTGCCAGAACCAAAAGTAAGCGTTGGCATGCGACAAAAAGCGTACCATAAAATAAAAGTCTCGAGCTTGAATAGCCTGTTAATGAAATCCAAATGATCGGTTTAGGCAGAGTAAGGCTGGGTTGGCCGTAAGAGTCGAATATGAGAAATACCAAAAAGAAAAACAATAAAAGGGTAAACTTATTTCGGCGATTTTAAGTTAATAAGAGAGGAGGTCCAAAACTACTCCAAATGAATATTCTAAAGTAATGAAAGCAACCAAATTGTTTGCCTTTTTTCAGTATAATCTTTAAGTTAAGCACATTTTCACTTACATTACACTTCATTGTGAAATTACATTTTCTAAGCAGTGAGAAATATTTTTTAACCTTTACCCTTTACAATAAGTTGAAAATCAAACCTAACCTAACCTCTTTGACCTCTTCATCCGAAAATGTTCGTGGTGATAAAATAGCGGTGTAATGCTGCTGCATTTCTTATGGTGTATTATATAAATATACACTTCCTTTGATGTTTCGCTTTACCTTTAGTTGCATTGTTTTTGAACTGCATGTCTTTTTTTCTTAAATTACAAGACCACCAAAACCTAAATTATTTTTTTTGTGTGCAGGTAGTAATTTTATTGTCTTAAAATGTTTTGGACTAGCTGTCATAATGTATAACTTACTTGTATTTGTATAGTAAAACAGATTTTGTTATAGGTGAATAAGCGTCCAAAATTAAAAACGTAATAATTATTTAAAAAAATAGCACGTTTTTAAAACTGGCTTGCGTACGTACGAAACAATTTCTTCTAGCCCGTTCACATTTAAAGCCCTCTTCTAGCCCGTTCACATTTAAAGCCTTCTTCTAGCCCGTTCACATTTAAAGCCCTCCTCTACCCCGTTCACATTTAAAGCCCTCTTCTAGCCCGTTCACATTTAAAGCCCTCTTCTAGCCCGTTCACATTTAAAGCCCTCTTCTAGCCCGTTCACATTTAAAGCCCTCTTCTAGCCCGTTCACATTTAAAGCCCTCTTCTAGCCCGTTCACATTTAAAGCCCCATACAGATAAACTGAAAACGTGTTGCGCATACAATGTATAATTGACGCATAAATAGTTCACTTAGGTCACTAATAATATTAATGCACTACAAATTAATAATATTAACTGTTGTGGACTTTTCTTTGCGGCAGCTGCTCCCTATTTCTACACTCGGCTAAGTTTCTTACTATTATCAATTACATGTGCCTCACATTTTAGAAGATTGCTAGAAGAAATTATTTTGTACTTAATTTTTTACCCCATTGGGAAGTTAGCTTAAAATCTGCAGCTACCTTATGGTTCTAGCGAATGTGTCGGCTCGACCTGGGAAGAACTAGGCTCTCACAGAATATCAGCGTAAAATAGCAGCTTAATGCTGCTGTGTTTCGTATGGTGAGTGTAGAGAACCGGAGACCCTTTTTACTGGATACCAAGCATTCCATCTTAGTTTTCAGAGGTGAAACACATCTGCATTTTGATTCTTAATCAAGGATAAATGATATATCATAGATATATACTATGGGCCACAGTATCCACTTACCATCAGGTAGACTGTTTGCTTGTTTTTTACCGTCATTCTATAGTAGTGGACAATACAATTAGGCCACCAACCAAACCAGTTGATGTCACTGTGTTTCAAAATAAAGACTTTTTTAAGGTTTTTTTATGGATTGTCTGTTAAAAATTAACCTAAAGTTAAGTTCTAAATTAACCTACTTCATTTTTTTAGCAATACACAAGAAAATCCACAAACGAAGAAAAATTTACAACAATTTCACAATGATAAAAAAATGGTGTTGCTGATGTCAATTTTTCTTTAGTAAGAGAATTTATTACGGTTGGATTTTATTAATAGTGTAGGACTTTGAGTATTAAACCAAGTAGTGACAAACGAGCACGCAGTCCACCTGATGGTAAGTGGTTGCTGTGGCCCATAATAAAATAAAATAAAATATCTTTATTTCAGGCAACAGAAAACCCATATAGTATGTTAGTAAAATTGAAGTGAAATATAACATTTATGAATTTTAGTGTTAGTAATCAATTTAATTTAAATAAATATAATAAACACAAATATAAATGAAGATGTTGAGATCATCCGCTAAGAGGGCACCAGTGTGTTATACCTTGGCATGAAGCCGTATCCAGTGCTCAAGCAGCGGCGAGTCCCATCTATCTGCATTGTGTTAAGAATGCTATTGGAGCTGCCCCACAAAAGCTTCAGCATCGATGCAACACGCTTTCTAATAATGGCATGGAAACCATTATTGTACATTTCAGAAAACATTCCTAACGCACTGCAAAAGCGTGGCAGCCCCATCAGCATCCTAAAGCCATTATTATACTGGACACAACGCGCTGTACACCCGCTGCGTATAACTAACCCATAGGTTGCCCGTGTAAAAAGACTGGCACTAGGGTTTGAAAATAGTAATCTTTACCTACCTACTGCAACGAGCAAACCTTCGGGCCACCATGTAACATCGGATGGACAGCGCCCTGCGTTCCCGCTCGATATCCATATTATCACGCAGATCCTCAGTGACCATCCATCCATCCATCTATCCTCAGTGTCCATAGACATCTGCGTCTACCTTCGATTACGAATCAAAATGCAGATGCATTGTCACCCGTGAGAACAAAGATGGAATGCCTCGTTTCCAGTAAAAAGGGTCTCCGGTTCTCTACACTCACCATACGAAACACAGCAGCATTTACGCTGGTATTCTATGAGAGCGTGATCCTTCCCCGGTCGAGCTAACCTATTCGTGCTACAACTATACTACTATTATAATTGCAGCATGGCTCTACCACGTATGGGTTTTTTGGGTTACGATTTTATGCGCGAAACCCTAATTTACTCTAAAAAAAACTCTCTCTCTCTCTCTCTCTCTCTCTTTCTCTCGACTCTTCCTACTAAAATAAAAGTAAGTTACTTATTATAACATCTGCTATCTGTCAGTCAAAAGTCCTGTCAAAATCGTCCCAGCCATATCGGAGATTAGCCGAAACAAACAGACAGACAAAAAATTTAAAATGGTTTTTTATTTGTTATAAGTATATTATTTTGACATTACAAACAGACACGTCAATTTTATTTAATTGTATAGATAGAGCTGGGCTATTTTTTCTTTAACCCCAGATAATCCAAGCTAATGTTATGCAATGAGTTGCTATTATTAGGCAATAAATAAATAAATATTTTTCCACTGATCTGTACATGCACAGTTGATAATATGGATGTTTGTTACGGACTTTGACACGACGCATGCAGTCACCATGATCACGCAGATCGCATGCGTCATGCTGACTGTTTGACACTTTGATATTATTTTGTACAGTGATACTTGATCTTTGCCATTGAGTAATTAAAATTTACTTCGATAAAACAAAGTAAAATGAGATTTGTATTTTGTGTAGAAATTTTAAATTATTTTTGTATAAATTTTTATTAGACTAATGTTTATATATTTTAATTAAGCCCCAATAAATCACAATAAGAAATATTTAGCTTGTCCTGTGCTAGGGTGTCACTGAAAGTTTCAGAACAAACTAGCAAGTTATTAGTTTTATTATATCTTTTCAAAATAGTGTCCATTTACTTCAATACTCGTACATCGCTGCATCCGATGGAACCACTGAGAAAAGCACTTTGCCCACTCGTCCTTAGGGGTTTCTTCGACGGCATTTTGAAACGCAGCCACTGCTTACTCGGCATCCCTAAAACCTTTTCCTCGAAGTTTTTCTTTTATTTTCAAAAATAAATAAAAATCGCAAGGTGCAAGGTCGGGGCTATATCGGTGCTGGGTGACCCAGTAATTCCACGTCTGACGTCGCCAAGTAGTCAATTGCTTACTTGGTGGTGTGCGACGAGGCGTTGTCGTGGTGAAGGAGGATCTACTGCGAGGTCGTTTCTTCCGAACTTATTCCAAGACAAGTGGCAAACAATTGTTAGTGTACCTCTACTCTACTACTCTGCAGTAACTATTTTTCGATCCTCTAAAACAATTCTTGCGTAATGACCTGTCCTTCCGAAGAACGAAGCCACCATCTTTATTCCCACGCTTCGACCTCTCTTCACTTTGGTTGGCCAATCCTGGGAAGGAAAAACCCAGACAGCAGACTGTCTCTTAGTTTAAGGATCATAACAATAAATCCAGCTTTTGTCACCCGTAAGTATCTCGAACACAGCATTTGAGTCACCTCCGTTAAATATTTGAACCATTTCACGATACCAATCAACACGACTGAGTTTTTGGGCCTTTGTCAAATTATGAGGTATCCACGGGGCACAAAGCGTCATGACCGCTAAATGTTCATGGAGCATTTTGTGCGCTTGACTCATACCGATGCCTAAGCTTGTCCGAATCTGCTGATAAGTCACTTTTTTGTCAGTCTCTATCGTACGCAGCACATCACTGATGTTATCTTCAGTCGTCCTTAGAATAGAAGGCCGTCCCTCACGCAGACCATCGGTGAGATTAGTGCGACCACGTTTGAACTCATTAAACCAGTTATAAACAGTGACACGAGATGGGGCTTCAACGTGAAAGGCCAATCGAAGTCTATCATAACTTTCTTATTGACTTAAATGACATCCAAAGTCATAAAAAATCATTGTACGAAAATTTTCTCGCTTTAAATTCGTGCTGACGTGACGCAGACAATATTCCATTTGCCGCCAAATCGTAAACAAATGACAAATTAATAAAATACATGCACAATAATATTGACAAAGAGCTCCATTTTCAAAATTTGAACTTATTTTTTATTATATCATTTACAAGTGGCCAGTTCTAAAAACTCAGTGTCGCCCTCGTATATATTTATTTTTATATTAAGTACATCCGCAAAATCATGTATCTTTTAAAATTATATCCCTCTATACAAAGATATGGGATTTTGTTATAGATAAATAAATATTTATATCTCAAGTTGTTAATGGTGAAACAACCCCAGACGGTAATTTAACATACTCATGTTTCGCACTTATCCTGGTACTTAACATTTATTGAGATCTTAAAATTTAATAATTCAGGTATTTATGTATTACATAAAAATAAATTAAAAGTAATTCCTTATTTACTAATCTATGTTCAGTAATTTTACACATATAGTCGCGGGCATTAATTGATTTTGGGTTTGTGTTTTGTTGGGATTTTCCCCGCATGTCCAATTCACATTCTACCGCTACATAATATGTATCTTACCGCATTAGCAATACATCGGATGATTGATTATCTTTAACCTTTTGCGTACACTTGTGACACTGGGTATAAATCTGATGTTGTGATTGATAATTTTCGAAATTGTCACACCAATAAACCGAAAAGAATTTCATCTTGATCGTACAAAATTATTAAAAGGAATACTTCTTCAACAACGAAAGTTACACCTTATAAATAGATTTAGTATACATGTAAAAGTTAAAGTTCGAAATATTTTTTTTTCTTATTCCTCAGACATGCAGGTTTCCTCACGATGTTTTCCTTCACCGCCGAGAACGTGGTAAATCAGCACTTAAAATTGCAATTAATATATATTATATATGTATTCATAATTTATTTGTATGTTGTTTCTGTATATTACACAGATACGGATGTTTTTAATCTATCCCGTACATTTACCTTAGGACATTCTGGATTCAGCGGGTGGTCGTGTAGTGAGCGAAGCCAGTGAAGTGCGAGTCGTTGATGAGAAGCCAGTTTTGTTGCTGGCCGAGCCCGAGCATACGCAGGAGGATCGATTCATATGTGAGTCACCAAAATTATCGTGTTTGTTACTTAGCAAAGAAACGTAGTTTTCCAGAAAAACCGAAGAATTAAATAAGTAATTAAAATGCTCTTAAAACGTGCTTGCCAATAAATTTGTCGTGTACAAAAAGATAGAAAGTTTTGTTTCGTTTCGTATTAATTTTCATATAAACGTATAATGTTGGTCAATTCGGCATAGATACATAATAATTTCAAAAGAAAAAAATATGCTGATTATATATATATATAAGAAATAAATACGTAAAACTGTTCCTTCATCCGTCCTGTAATGCAAGCAGTTGCGGGCGGAGCTCTATCACCTGGACACTGCGATCATTGGGGACAGAATAATCAAATAGAGTGGGATATTTTTTTTAATCAATATAGATCACATGTAATTCTTATTGAAAGTCTTTTTTTACATTGCCTAAATAATTAATTACTGACACTGTGTAGTCGAGAAACTGGTATCACTACCTTGTGTTAGTTCCTAGTGTTAACAGAGAGTATATAACTTTTTTTACTAAATCTGCAATTGTTTTTGTGAACATATATTAAATTTTCGTAAAAATCCTGAGGGGACAAAGTTAATATATTTATTTCTTTAATATTTTCGCTAAGCAAAAGTAAATAGCTCTTATGGCCCTCTTCTGCAAAACAAAAATAGTTTATAATCCAGCCGCATTTACCCATAGATAAACCACATAAGACATTATGCTATATATAACCGAAATAAACTAGTCTATCTCGACACTAGTGACATCTTTCATCTTTTTTACGGCATAAGCTGCGGAGCTTAATCTGCTTGCCTAATTTGGCTATTTTTATAGAAATAGGGTGACAAACGAGCATACAGTCCATCTGATGGTAAATGTATGCTGTGGTCCATGGACATCTACATTTATCCTCTATTAAAATGAAAACGCAGATGCGTTGTCACCCCTGAGGGCTAAGATGGAATGCCTCGTTTCCAGTAAAAAAGGGTTTCTGGATCTCCACACTTACCATACGAAACACAGCAGTATTAAGTTGCTATTTTACGCTGGTATTCTGTAAGAGCGTGATTCTTCCCCGGTCGAGCTGACTCATTCGTGCTACAACCATAATATAGCTGCAGCGTGACTCTCATCATCATTATCATTACAGCCCTTCACAAGTCTAATGTTGAACATAGGCCTCCCTAAGGTATGCCATAAACCACGATCCTGAGCCACCTGCATCAATTAACTTCCTGTATGTCTTACCAGGTCGTCAGTCCATCTAGTGGGGGGTGGCCCTACACTACGCCTGCCGGTACGAGGAAGCCACTCACCTTTTTTCCCCCATCGGTTGTCAGTTCATTGCCATTTCAGCTTTTTTTTTTTTATAGAAGAGGGGGCAAACGAGCATGTGGCTCACCTGATGTTAAGTGACTACCGCCGCCCATGATCAACCGCAACACCAGGGGAATTGCAGGTGCGTTGCCGGCCCTTTAGAAAGGAGTAAGCTCTTTTCTTGAAGGTCCCCAGGTCGTATCGGTCCGGAAAAATCACCGGTGGTAAATTATTCCACAGAGAGGTTGTACGCGGAAGAAAACTCCTTTTGAAACGTACAGTGGTGGACCGCCAAGCATCCAGATGGTGTGGATGGTATCGGGACGTTTGCCGTGTAGTGCGTTCACGAAATTTGGCGGCTGGGATTAATCCGAACAATTCCTCAGAGCACTCCCCGTGATAGATGCGATAAAATACGCATAGAGATGCAACATCTCTTCGCAGCGCCAGTGAATCGAGCCGATCGGAAAGCACTCGGTCGTCGACGATTCGAGCCGCTCTGCGCTGGATGCGGTCAAGTGGAAGGAGCTGGTACTGGGGAGCTCCAGCCCAGAGATGGGAACAGTATTCCATGAGCGGCCGAACCTGCGCCTTGTAAAGTTGCAAGCGGTGTGCCGGCATGAAATACTGTCCCGCTCTGCTGAGCACGCCAAGCTTTTTAGAAGCCAATTTGGCCTTCCCTTCCAAGTGACCACGAAACTGCACGTCACTCGATATGTCGACGCCGAGGATTCCGATACTGGCTGAGGCAACAAGGGGAGTGCCTTGAAACTGAGGGGATACGACAAAGGGGTTCTTTTTAGCGGTTAACGCGCAAACTTGTGTCTTCTGGGGGTTAAACTGGACTAGATTTAGTCGCCCCCAATCCGAGACTCTGTCCAGCAGAGACTCGACTTCAGACACAAGTTTGTCCCGGCACTCAGAGACGTTTTCCCGAGAAATATTGGCTCGGCCGGTGTAAAGAGCATCACCAGTGCTGTCATCCGCATAGCAATGAATGCTACGGGTTTGCAACATATCATTGATATGCAGAAGAAACAGCGTTGGCGATAGCACGCAGCCCTGTGGAACACCAGCATTAATAAGCTTGCAATCGGAGCTTGCACCGTCTACAACGACCTTGATGCTCCGATCTGCAAGAAAACTGGTGATCCAATCGCACAATTTCTCGGGAAGCCCATAGGAAGGGAGCTTCGAAAGAAGCGCTTTGTGCCAAACCCGATCGAAGGCCTTCGCAATGTCCAAACTAACGGCCAATGCCTCCCCCTTGGACTCTACTGCCTCCGCCCATCTGTGAGTTAGGTAGACCAGAAGATCACCAGCTGACCTACCATGGCGAAAACCGTATTGGCGGTCACTAATCAGCTGATGATCCTCAAGGTACCTCATGAGCTGGCAGTTTACAATGGACTCCATTGTTTTGGAGAACAAGGAGGTGATGGCGATAGGCCGGTAGTTGGACGGGTCTGAGCGGTCGCCTTTTTTAGGGATCGGGTGGACGAAAGCCGTCTTCCATGATTTTGGGACTACGCCTAGGGAGTAGGAGTACCGGAAAAGACGCGTTAAAACCGGTGCCAACTCTGGAGCACACGTCCTCAGCACAATTGGGGGGATTCCATCAGGCCCACTCGACTTATGGATGTCCAGGGAGAGGAGTGCTTTGCGAACCGAGCGCTGAGTGAACTGCAATTCCGGCATGGAGCACTCACACCGCGGGATGGTCGGCGGCGTACTCCCCCCGTCATCGAGAGTCGAGTTAGACGCAAAGAAAGAGCCTAGCAGATCGGCTTTCTCCTTTGCGGTGTGCGCCAGTGAGTCGTCCTCCCTGTGCAGAGATGGAAGAGATGGCTGACAGAAATTCCCCTGGACAGCCTTGGCGAGAGACCAGAATGCACGGGTTCCAGAAGGAAGACGAACTAGTCTCTCGCCAATTCTGCCTATGTGCTCTGACTTTGCCTTGGCAATGACTCTTTTGAAGGACCTAGAGGCGGAATTATACTTCTTTTTTAGAGCGCTGGTGTTTACATCCCTGGACGCTGATGCGTCAGCCCAGGCTCGGTAGCACTCCTGCTTATAGCATGATGCTATTTTACAGGAGCGACCAAACCATGGCTGAGATTTGCCTCCAATGGGCACCACAGAGGAAGGAATAAAAAGTTCCATACCCTGAAGTACCACATCAGCGACAGAATCCGCAACAACGTTGGGATCATCCGGCGAGAAGCAAACCCGCCCCCAAGGGTAGGATGCAAAGAAAGACCGCATCCCATCCCAATCGGCTGACCTATAGTGCCAAACACGGCGGCAGCCTGCAGAATGCAACCGCGATTTCAGCGTGAGTGGCACCACACTCCGGACAAGACAATGGTCCGAGGAGCCTAAAGGGGCGTCGACGGAAATCTGATATCCGTCCGGGTGAGAGGTCAGCAGAAGGTCCAACAGGGAAGGTGCATGATCCTCCACATCTGGAATCCGCGTAGGCGAAGTAACCAGTTGTGTCAGACCATATGCCAAGGCAAAATCATGAACAGATCTCCCCGCATGATCGGTTAAACGTGAACCGAGCCATTCGGCGTGATGGGCGTTAAAGTCGCCGAGGATCACGATCTCTGCGGAGGGGATCTGCTGTAGCAACGAATCTGCAGCCATTTGGACGTGGTCGAAGAGTCGGTCTGTTTCGGCATTACCGCTATGGGACCTATAGAGGCACCCGTAGACGCGCGGATGGTCGTCGCTGTCTACGCGTAGCCAAAGGATGGACAGGTCCGAACCTTCAAGTCTGCCGAGGCGTCGAGAACAGATGTCCTCTCTGACGTAAACGCAAACTCCAGCCCGAGGCACAAAGGAGTGTTCCAGTTTGTACCCCGGACAGGAGAGATACGAGACATCAGCCGGAGAGGACACCTGCGTCTCGGTCAGAAAGAGCAGAGCCGGCCTCGCCGTCTCGAGATGGTAGTGGACGGCGTTTAGGTTAGAGTGAAGTCCCCTGATATTGCAGAAATTCACGGACAGCGTGGCAGGGGTCGCCTTGGTCTTGTTGCTCCGTTTGCCCCGAGCAGTTTTAGTCTTGAGCGGAATATTGCCCCCCCCCCAGAATACGCGGGGCAGCCTGAGCACCCACGCTCAGAAGTGGAGAAACATGGTCGTGGATGCTCAGCGAGGGATTCTCCAGGGGTGCTGGTACCCTCCTGGGGTAGTCTATCATTTAATTCCGCTACCATGTTGATGGGGGGGGGGAATTGGGCCTCCGGCCACCTGCACTTACCAGACGAAACGCGGAAGCAGAGCTTCCACTTCACGCCGGTATTCTGTGTGGTCGTGGTACCACCCCGGTTTGAGCCGGCCCATACGTGCGACAGCAAAGCTGCCGCGTGGCTCTACCACTGATAATAAATAAATAATACCAGCTTACTAATCCGTTGGGCTATGTCGGTCACTCTGGTTCTACTGCGGATATCTTCATTTCCAAGTTAATCACGCAGAGAAAACCCGAGCATAGCCCTATCCATAGCTCGCTGAGCGACCTTGAGCGTCCTCATACGGCGAGCCGTGAAGGACCACGTCTCAGATCCGTAAGTCATCACTGGCAACACGCACTGGTTGTACAATCTAGTTTTCAGGTTTTGAGGTATACCTGACGAGAAGATGTGTCGTAATTTCCCGAACCCTGAATCCTTCGATTGACCTCTTGGTCGAAGTTGGGCTTACCTAGTCGGACTATTTGTCCCATGTAAACGTAACTCGTCAACAACTTCGAACTTAGTGCTCCCGAACAACTACCGGCATAGGTGTGACATGGACATTAAACATGATCTTTGTTTTGTCCATGTTCATCTTAAGACCTATCTGTTGGGAGACACTATTCAGGTCATTTACCATAGTGCTTAGGTCCTCCAGCGAATCTGCCATAAGGACTAATCATAGAATACTATAATACTCAATAGAATGGCTGTCAACCTTACTTTGTAGGAAGATTGGCGTCGCCGGGAGCACACATACAAGCTATTACGTCGTATTATCAGTTATCACTACTACAAACATATTTTAGACTTTTGATTAGTGTTTTTAACACATAAATGTATCTTTATTTTTGTTTCTAATATTTACAAAATATAAATAGTTTCGACTTACTGGTTGTAGAATATGTCTCCTTTATTTAAGTTCCATTTCCCGCTGTTCTTTCGACACGAAAATTTGAAACGATTGAAAGATAGAAAGAAATGAATGTGAGAATGTGTTGACATTTATACGTGTGAATTGACGTGTTAGTGAAAAATGTGTGTACTGTTATAAACCTCATCTTATAATTAATCATGGCTTTTACAGAGCTCGCTAATTGAAATGGCACTCTTGGTAACCATAATAAGAATCACTTATAACAAAAGCAGAAATAGAAATAAGGTTTCAAGTGATTTAGGTCTGCCCACCCTGCCTGTGCTTTACTTCCAAGGTTAACTAATTTACAATGGAATGTATATTTTAATTAATTAATCATACAACCTATGTGTTTCACAAATAAGTCCCGGGTTTCATACTGAGTGGTTCTTCCCAAGACAGAAGTTTTTCTCCAAACCAGTAGTAAAAGGGATTATATTTTATAACGGCTATTTCACATCTATGCTGGTAGTTGTTTGGAGCACTAAGCTCGAAATTGTTGACGAGTATGTTTACCTGCGACAAATAGTACGACAAATAGTAAGTCAAATGCTAAGTCCAACTTCGACCGAGAAATCAATCGAAGGATTGAACTCGACTCTGCTCAGTTAGGGAAATTACGACACATCTTCTCGTCAAGTATTTCTCAAAACTTGAAAACGAGATTTTACAACCAGTGAGTGTTGCCAGTGATGACTTATGGATCTAAGAGGTTATTCAGTGCTGGCCGTATGACGTAGTTCAAGGTCGCAGCGAGCTATGAAGAGGGCTATGCTCGGGGTTTCTCTGCGTGATAAACTTAGAAATGAGAATATCCGCAGTAGAATCTGAGTGACCGACATAGCCCTATAAGCTGAAGTGGAAATGGGCCGGCCATATAGCTCGAAGAACAACCGACAACTGATGGAGTAGAAAGGTTCTCGAGTCGCAGCCTCGCACCGGTAGGCGAAGGTAGGGCGTCCCTGCACTAGATGGAGTGACGATCTGGTAAGACATCCAGGAAGTTGATGGATGCAGGTGGCTCTGGTATTTTGTGGTATTTCTTGTGGGCGGCCTACGTTGAGCAGTGGACTTGTGAACAAGGGCTGTAATGATGTTGATGATGATTATATTTTATTAGTGCTAAGAAAAGAGAGAAAGTATGATAATTGGACCCTATTTTACAGTCAAGTCCGTCTACTAAAAACTAGTGTTAATATATTTAATCGTTTACCTTTATAGTACCCCAAATACGTCTTAATGCTGAAACTAGGAATAATTCGTTCGTAAATATTATGACAGTTATAATCGATTTTATCGTATATTTTGTTCTCGTACGTGAGGAGCTACCGATATGTTTACTAATTCTTTTTTCAGATCTCGCAATGGAGCTCAAGGTCGTGCCGGTGAATTTTGAGTGGGTATTGAACTGCCTAGGCAGTTACACCCTGACCTCCATCCATGATCTATTACTATGCCCACCTTCGCTTCTACCTCCAATTACTAGTAAATGGCCTACGCCATTACTCGCCCGTGATTATGACTAGTACAATTAGTGATCACTAACATCAAGAATATTTCTGTTATTTTTTATGTAAGTAATATATGAAGCAATGTAAAAATAAATCTTTATTTGCTATGACTTTTTAAAATTGATGTTATTATAACCAATTTTATTATAAGAATAATAATACATAATGATACGTATATTTGTGAATCATAATATGTAATACATTTAAGATTTTAACAATTCAAAAATTGTAAAATTTATTGATATGATGTCGTCAAAGTTGCGCCAAGTAGTAAAAATTGTCCCCCAGACCGAATTTCGGTCATGGCGGTCAATCTCAACGAACATCATTCGGATTATTCATAGTCATAGAATACTATAATACATACATAATAGAACGGGGGAGTGGGCGGAGCCCGTGTAGCCACTAAGATGTCAATTCACACCTATAAATGTCAACACAATCGATCGTTTCCAATTTTCGTGTTAAGCGTCGGTGCATGCAAATTATTTAAAAAATGGCAAATTGTGCAATAATTACGTGTCGAAATAACAGCGGGAAATGGAAATTAAATAAAGGAGACATATCCTACAACCAGTAAGTCGAAACTATTTATATTTTGTGGATATTAGAAACAAAGTAAAGAAATATTTATGTGTAAAAAACATTAATCAAAAGTCTAAAATGTGTTTGTAGTAGTGATAACTGATAATACGACGTAATTGCTTGTATGTGTACTCCCGGCGATGCTTATCCTCGTACAAAATAAGGTTGACAGCCATTCTATTGTGTATTATAGTATTCTATGTTCATAGTACCCAAGTGTATGCGCAGGCACAGGTAGACTCTCTATTCCTTCACTCTCATAGTCCGATGGGACAGTAATCTGACTTGACAGAACAATGATCAGGCGCAGGAACAACGGACGTATGTGCATTCCAAGGCACGGATTTGAAACATCCTCAACTTCTTGCCTCTGGGCTGCTACTAAAATTTTCTTTACAGAAAAATCCAAGTAAATAATTTTGACACGACCTGAGTTTGAACCTAGGACCACATAATCTAGATCAACAATGTAGTGAGTTTGTCAGTCAGAAAAATATTTCATGTTATAAACCACCTAGAAGTGGCCTAGGATTTTCATGAGTGAATCAGTAAGTCAGTTAATCAGTGTATAAAAATACGGGAAGAAAAAAATAAAAGGACAGAAAGAAAACGGAATAAGTAATTAATGATATATCTTATATGATGATGTATTTTATTAATTGAGTTCGGTTTTAACGCATATTGTAAGTTGTTATGTATTCAATATTTCTATGTAAATTTATTGTGTGTAATTTCAAATACAATGCAAATTGTTTTATAAATAAATAATAAATAAAAATGGCACTTTTCAGACCTTGAAAACTTCAGAACTATAATAGGTATAGTGTTTAACCAATTTTGGGGTTCTTGATATTCAAGGCACCTCATTAGGCGTGCAATATTACATTTTTGTACTTACATCTAATAGCTAAATAACTCGGAAGTAATTCACTGTCGGTGTGGTGCCAGTTTCGGCTTAAAAGATTATTTATTGCTGTAATATAAAGTCTATTTTGTATAACCCATGACACACCTAATATTGAATGAACTTTCCAAACTTACATTTCCCTCGATATGACAAAGTGAATAACGTGCGTTGGGATAAGATCGGTGATGGGGCAAGACCGTAAGATTCAAATTTCCAGCGAATCAGGCTATATTTTTAAATGCTACCTGTACGGTACACGACGTCATTTCATTCTGCCCCGACCCCAAGTCCAGCCAGTCGCTCCGCGAAGTAAGGGATGTCTTGCGCGGCATTTTGTAAAACAAGGTAATTTTTGTATTTTTGTTGTCCATCCGATCTTTCCCTATCACTTTTATTTGCGATTTTTGGGGCAAATATAGCTCCTTTTGTTATTATTTTGTCTGAATACTAAGTTTTATGAAGTTATAGCCAGACAAAAGTGATCCAAACAGGGCTAAGATCGCTGTAGGCCGTGATCCGATGTTTCCCGGCGCGAGTGAAGATCGGATAAATTTTATCCGATCTTTACTATCCGTTGCAAACATGGCAGTGGCTGTCAAACTTCCATTTCTTTCAGAGTTTTTTTATTGGAGAACACGAATCTTTGAAATCTATCTCCTTTGTAACCCATGGGCCAAATTACATAATTTTTTCAGCAATATTTGTAGCTCAATGCAGACAAGGTTTGTAAACATCATTAAAAAGTATCTATCATTGACAGCCAGTGCCATTACTTGTAATGGGATGCGAGGTACTTAATAAGAACCACAGAATATGGTGACTAAAGGTTTATCACACGTGATAATGTGGAGTTGTATTACTTTAAACTACAGTGCACGCGCAACTAACCACCACTGCCTTTGCTTGCGGCTGCGACAGCGATGTGACGTAATTTCAATGGTGCAGTGCACGGTCCGCGGAATGAAGGCGTTTTACACATCTTACTGGTTATTTTGACATTATCACACTAATTAAAAACATGGGTATTGCTTTTTGTGACTGTATAGTTTTTAAATTCAATAACTTAATTTCGACTTTCGGTAAGTGGTTCATCATTGTCTGGGTAATAGAGGTACGTGAAGCTATAAGTTTGACAAACCTGCATTAGGTATCTACGCTATGCCAAAATAATACACCATATTCCATGTTCAGATACACTACAAGATAGTGGTTCTTATCTCGTGGTAAATCTATGTTATTTAGATAAAATATTAAATAAAAAACTTACAATAAGTTTATTAGAAATGCGTGCCCGCCACTTAGCAGTCACGAACTAACAGATTGAAAACTACCTCGCATTCGAACCAAACGATTTGCTACATCATTCGTCATGCGTACAGCAAAAGAGTGTAATAAGTTGCCAGCATGTCTTTCCACCGGATTACAATGTTAAGTCAGTGCGCTTCACCGTCTTAAGCTATATCACCATATGCCATCAGGTGGAACTTAGAACAGTAAAAAAATAATGCTATTATCATCCTTATACTATACACGTAAGCTTTAGCCTTCCGACTCAGTGACCCTCAGATTATGGAACAAAATAATCTGAGCAGTGACCTTTTAGGACGCAACGTGTTGAGAATCGTTTATGAAGCAACATTGCGAAATTGCTTTTGCATCTTTTTATCTATTATCTTTGTACATCGTCATTACAGCTCTCCACAAAATGTATATTATGTTATTTACATCACCTTAGAATAAATTAGTAAAAAATATGCTTCTAATTGTAGTACATACATACATATTTTGGAAACAAGTTCAGAGGATTTCCATTAAATTTGGTACTTATGTACTTTGGTAGTTAATAATTTTGGGTAACGTATTAATATAATATGGTATATTTAGGGTTGTGCATATTTTCTTAGGAAGTTTTTTTTTTTGTAGACTTAAAATTCTTGTTGTCATAACAAGAATAACTGGCTAAGTGCGAAGTACGTGGCGGGCCACTCACAATGTAGGGGTAGAGTTTCATAGTTGCCCGTCACAATACTAATGCTTTTTTGATAATGGGATTAATAAGAGAGTTCGCGGTTTGACCGCTATAACGACTAAAAATGTCCGCAAATAGAAAGATGGTAACTGAAGGCCTTATTTTCAAATCAAACTTATAGGGAGTGGTATAAAAAATAAGATTTAAAAAAACTTCGATTTTGAAAACGATAAAATTTACATCAAAACATTCACATGCCAAATTAGTACATATATGGTCATAGTTGACCATCTATCTATATATACTTACCGGCACAGCAGTGCGACTCCAGGGTATATATGACCGTAACGCACCTTCCCGTCTCTTGTGTAAACCAAGAGTATGACGAATGAATCCATACCATCAATGTTTTTGAACGAACTTATACGATACCTTACACGATGGAATAGAAGGGTTAAAAAATCATCATCCATTTACCTGTATGGGAGGTACGCAAAATAAAAATGTTTTTTAAGATTGTATTTCACAGTTTTGTAGGGGTGATGAATATCTATAACTATGCCAAATTACAGATTTGTAGCTCTTTGAGTCTCTGAGTAAAACCAGATGAACATGGCGAAACTAAGTAAGGGTTCTCTCTAAACTCTATAAACGTGGTAGAAATTAACATCTATTTACTCCTAAAAATGTACAATCTTAAAATCACAAAATAGATCTATTTAATCATGTGCAGCTCGGTATGGAAAATTCGAAAAAGATACTATTTCTCCTTTTTATGTAAACTTGGGAATCAGGTGTATTAAAACAATATAATTGTAAATTATTGGAATATTTTTTTAATGCAAAGTACAAAATGTTCGCGGAAAATATCAACAAAAGACTGCAGCCACAAATTATTCGGACATTATAACATGACCGGAGTACACAAAATCTGATGAACTTCTGATTTATTAGACTGTGAACTGTTAAGTACCTACTTCGCCTACTTATAAACTATGAAATTACAGCTCTAGCTATAAGCAATTACTTTTCTGATTGTCATTTTGCTTGTAGTGTATGTAGACCCTCCATATTGTAGTGCTCTTCAATCTTTTTTTTCACATGTGCAAAATTCTGTTGTCTTCTACCAAAACGTAAATTGTCTGAATAGGACACCAAGTGTTTTGATCGAATCCACACCCTTAAGGTTTGAAGACTGTTGAAGAGCATGTCTAAGTAGTTACAGCTTCAGGTCTTGTTTAATAATTCCGACAGGACTTTATTATGTTTTAGGGTTCTAGCTGGAATCTTCAATACAAGTGACAATTTTTTATTTCTTATAAAGGTTACGTTAGATTATAACTTGGACAGTACAGCCCACTTGGTCCCACTTGATCCTATCAAGACGAAGAATTTTTAGTTTACCTGTTCATAGTGCGATACCCTATGGATACGCCTAGCTTGCTTGACAATCACAGTTTTTACTGCCTAGCTCCTTTTGCAATTTCCTGAAATAAATTATTTATTTTATTTATCCCATCTTAGTAAATTGAAGTCAGGATGTTCCATATGTGT